TCATTTCCCACTGGCTCTTCCCCAGTCCCGAGGCCGAGCGCAAGCAGTTGAGTCCATCCGCATTCTAGTCCCCAGGGTCATTGTCTGGCGCGAGACCCCGCTCTCCGGCGCTGGGGTCAAGCGATAACCCCTTCAACTTGCCTCGCGGGCCTCCCCGGTGCCGCAGCGGGTTGAGCGCAGCGCTGTGAAGCTGCCCGCAGCCTCTGCAGCGCCGGTTCCATCCCGCCGGCTGGCGAGAAGCCCACATGGTGCGCGCAGACCTCTCCTGTCTCCCCGCTGCTCCCCTCAGCAGTGTATTTCAGTCAGTCTGCCTGTTCTGCTCCCCGCTCTGTCTCTGGTGAATCCTCTCACCCTCCCGCACCTCTGGCCTGTACCCCAGCTCTTGTATAAAAATAAATAAATCTTTAAAAAAAAAACAACTTGCCTCGCTTGCTTTCCCGTGGCCCCCTCTGGAGGATCCAGCTGCTGGAGGTGGGGGGCCGAGGGGATGAGTTGGAGGGGACAGAGTGAACTAGAGGGTGGGCTGACGTTTTAAATTGTGTTTGTGATTAAAGTTTTGATTTCCAAGAGAGGGGTTGTTCATTCCCATACGGAACCTGTAATTCTTGTAGGAACCGTTCTTGTGTTCGAAAGGGATGAGGAAGTCCCGGAATGTCATCTGGTCATCAAGATGTTATCCAAGGATGGGGAGGAGCAATTGGAGCCTGTTGAAGGTGATTTTCCTCCCGTCCTGAGAAGGTCAGGGCTTCCAGCAAATCAGTTAGTTATTCAGTGACTTCTATAAAACCTTATTTCCCCTGGCGAGTGTCCCTGGAGCTGAGACGAGGCTGCCCCCTGGGGGAGAGGCCGCCAAAGGCCCTCATTTCCATTCCTGCCTGACCCCTATGCCACTGGACGTAACCCCTGCTCCAGCGCTGGTCCCCAAGTCCCACTGGACGGAAGGAGGTTCAGAGCGGACAGGAGACACTTTGCAGAAAAGCAGCAGTTAGTGGGCCTCCTGGGTGGCGCAGCGGGTTGAGCGCAGGGCTGTGAAGCTGTCTGCAGCTTCTGCAGTGAGGGTTCGATTCCCGGCTGGCCAGGGAGATTCCCACATGGCGCGGCAGACCTCTCCTGCCGCCCGCTGCTCCCCTCAGCAGTGTGCTTCGGTCCTTCTGCCTGCTCTGCTCCCCGCTCTGGCTCTGGTGAATCCTCTCACCCTCCCGCGCCTCTCGTCTGAAACCCAGCTATTGTATATAAAAAAAAAAGCGGCAGTTAGAGCTGAAAACCCACCGTCTAAAGGTAAAATCTCTCCCATAAAAAACTGCACATTCTCGCCCACGAGACCTGTCCCCCGGGCCTTTCTGAAGCGTGGACGGGTCCAGGACACGAGGCTGGCGAGGAGCAGGCTGGGGGCGGGAGGGCGCATCAAAGGGACATCTGCGTCGCCCGAGGGCAGTCCTGTCCCCACCTCCTCCCCTTCCCACCGGGTACAAAGTGAGATGAAAGGAAGTCACTGCCTTGCCCTGGGTCTCTCGCACTGAGCGCAGACTTCAGGGGAACACGGCAGTTTGCTGAGATGACCGACCCGTAACTGTAACGCCGCCCCGGCAGGGGCCGACTCATCATGCTCCGGTTTCTCTCCACAACCGCCTGAGCCCCAGCGGTGGGGGTGACGCAGGGCATCTTCTCGTGGGGCCAGTGCCTCTCTCCGCCCTCCTCAGTTGACCCGTGGCCTGTCCGTCCAGGCAGGGGGCGGCAGGTTCCGCCAGCAGAGCTCAGTGCAGATCCAGAGCCTCCAATAAAAAACAGCAACACGTTGCCCCAAGAAGGGGAGCTGGGGACACTTCACCTTACACCTGCTGCTTCTTTTAAGTAGATTTTATTTTTTAGCTTCAGGTTCACTGCAAAGTGGAGAAGGGACAGGTCCCTTCCCCCAGCCTCACATCACGCAGCCCCCGACTGTGCTGTCAAGAGCCCGCCCCAGAGCAGCCCCGTCACACTCGATGACCCACGGTCACCCGTCACGGCTGACTTCAGGGTCCACGCTTCGTGTCCCTCAGCTGTGGGCTTGGACAGGCGTGTAAGTGACACCTATCTCCCGCGGCAGTCTCCCACATACTGTGCTTCCCCCCAGTCTACCCTACGGCCTATCTATACCTTCTGTTTCTGAACCCCGTGGACCTGGTCATAAAAAAAAAAATAAAATTCTTCCCGCCTTGAAAGCCCAGGACATTGCAGGGGGTGACGCCCGCAGTGGGGGTTACGGCCCCTTGGAGGGAGGAGTGACCGAGCGGAGGGGAGGCTTGTTCTCTTGCCCCCTTGAATCCCTGATCCGTGAACGTGTCTGGGCAGACGTGAGGGAAAGGAAGGAGGCGCAGGTCCCCAGGGGGCTGCCGTGCCCGCCAAGCCTTCGCTGTTACAAAGCCCTGGTCACAGCTGCTCTCAAACATGGCGGCAGGAGGCTCCCCACCAAGGCAGAAGATGGATGAAGCAGAAAAGGCCTCCTCTGGGGCTTGGGGACAGGGACGCAGACCCTCTCCTGCCTTCCTGTTGAAGAGGAAGCTGTTTGGAACCAGGGGGAATGTAAGCCCTGTCCTCTTCCGACCGTACTTCCCTTTCAAACGCTCTCCTTAAAGCCAGTCTAGTTCTGAAGCCAGGCAGAGCCTTGTCGAGACACGATCCTCAGTGGAAGGTCAACTCTTCAGTTCTGAGGGTCATGATGTAACACAGCTAAGGGCTTCACCACTGAGGCGCTCTGGGAGGCCGAGCTAGAGACGAGCACTGCCTCAAAGAACATCTTCCTCTTTACCCTTTTCAGTAATTTTAACCAGTGGGTGGTGGATTTGACCACCAGGCCAAAAACCAACTGACCAGCCCTTCGGCCGGAAGGACCCCACTTCTCATATGCATACCCCAGAAACCATAGCAAATGTTAGCCTTCTCTCTGCAAGGCGAGCAGCTGCAGCAGAAACCAGCACTCATGAGCGTGGCCGCGTCCGGGGAGGGGCGCATCAGGACACTCGTCTTTATGACCGCGGTGCTTACAGGGTGGGTGCTGTGGGAATGAAAAGCAATGCAGACTTGAGAGTTCCTTCCTCCCCCTTCTTTTATCAGCCTGCACATACTGACACTCACTCCCCGGAGCTGAGAAATAGCAAACTCCAGCGGGTGTCTGGGTTCACGTCCCGGCCTCCAGCCTTGGCTGCCCCGGCCGGTGCACATGGAGCCGAGCGGGGCACCGCAGGCAGCGTGGGAGCTCCTCAGGAAGCACGGATCTGAGCGAGGCACGGCTTATAACATCACCCACCCACGTCCTGGAACTTTCCTGCAGCTTAGGACATGTGCCAACAAGCACGAGATGACCTCAGTCTGGCCTGTCGCACTGAAGTCGTTGCCCAGAAGACAGGTCCTTCTCTCCAAGGAAGGCGGGGAAACTACCCCACAAGCAGCCCGAGGTGGGGGAGATGCGCACTAGAGGGTTGGAGAGCTGGGAATGTGACTTGGAGAATTTAGGAGGGTGGCCTTGACATTTTAAACCGGTGTACGCCATTATGAAACATTTAAGGGTTCCTGGGCCCCTCACACGACGATGAAGACAGAAGTATTTACCTGTTTACCTGTAACGCGGGGCCCGGAGCAGGCCTTCAGAAGCAGTGCAAAGTCAGAGGTGACTGCTAGAGGCCAAGTCTCCCCATTTCAGATGTTTGTGGCTGGGGGTCCAACACGAGCCCTGGTAGCCAGGGGGCAGGGCTGTCTCACTGAAGCACAGACCCTGCTTTGTCAAAGTGTGCGTCAGGGAAGGGTCACCCACTTTGACCCAGGAGACCTGGAGGCAGACGCAGCCCTGTGACCCGCTGGCTTGAGCCTATGGTGAATGAGGATTTAAAAAAAAAAAAGCTGCAGCACCCTCAAAAGCAGCACAGGGATGAGGGCCACCTGTTTCATAACCAGCAAGTTCTAAGAATTTATATAACAATGTCCTTCCTTCTAAATAAAAAAATGATACTTTTATTATATATTTTTAAATCACAGGACTCCAGGGGCTAACAATCATCACACACACGCACAGACACACACACTTTATCACTAATTTCTGGAATCATCTCCCCCGCCCCCTCTCAAAATTTGGCCTCTGAGTTATGCTCCAGGAATTTTCCGGCTCAGCTGCCTCCACCAAGTCAGGATAAATGGAAACACGAAGGTCTTCTGGCTTCACCCACAGTCCCCAAGCGCGGCGACGGGAAGGCCGTCGGCTGGAGGCCGGTCTGCTGAGTCAGCACAGTGAGATGGGACCGGCTCGGCGCAGGCTCCCGGGGAGGCCGGCTGTGCGCGGAGGGCCCCCGGCCTGCAGCCTGGTTCTCTCCTTTCACTGTTGGGTTTTGTCTCTTTCTACGGGGTTGCCTCACCTGCTGCAATAAAAGTGTGTCTTCTGTTCAGAGTCACACTGGAGGGCAGGCGGCTCGAATGAGTAGTGCCGTTATATGTTACGTCACTGAGCCTACAATTGAGAAATCTGAACTCTGGGGTTACAACTCAAGATAAATATTATTTCAGGGTAAACAAACACATTACTTGGCTGGCCAGCAGAACGCTCAATTCTTTCAAAAGCCATAACCGCATGTGGATTTCTGCTTTCTGCCATTAGCCCAAGACAGACGCCTGGTCTCTGCACCTTCACTATCACTCCGAGAGCAAGCGCTTCCCTTCCCGCTCCCCTCCTCAGCACCCAGACTGACTCCAGGGCCCAGGAGGTGAAAACACATGGCCTGGGCAATTTGGTGCTCAGTTCAAGCTGCCCAAGGCCCAACCCTGATTAACACCGACTACTTCTTTATTTATTTTTTTTATAATTATCTTTGTTTTTTGTTTTTAAAGATTTATTTATTTATTTATACAAGCACTGGGTACGGTCAGAAGCGCGGGAGGGTGAGAGAATTCACCAGAGCCAGAGCGGGGAGCAGAGCAGGCAGAAGGACCGAAGTACACTGCTGAGGGGAGCAGCGGGCGGCAGGAGAGGTCTGCGCGCCATGTGGGACCCTCCTCCGGTGGCCGGGGAGCAGCCGGGGATCGAACTGGCATTTCAGAGGCTGCGGGCAGCTTCGCAACCCAGCGCTCAACCGCTGCGCCACCGGGGAGGCCCCCGACTACTTCTTTAAACGTGTTGATACCCAGGTGGCGGCCTCGCGGGGACAGCAGGCTTGCGGGAGCTGGAAGCCAGGACAAGCAGATGACCCAGGACCTCCCTCCTGACAGACGCAGACAACACAAGGGACAGGGAATTTGAGGGCAGCAATTTTCTGAAAACACCACCGTCATCTTCCAAGTCCATGAGCCTTTCCAGTCAGGAATCGGGGTGGGGGTGACACGCACATGTAATGCTCACGATATAGTCTTAACAGAATAAAGACATTTTAAGAATATGAAACGCTTTTTAAGACATCTATTTTCAGGGGCAAACCACAGTAATAGAAATACTCTAAAGAGCTGGTTCGTTCTAAAGTCTTTTCCAAGAACAAGGGCAGCCAACTTCCAGGAGGTACCAAGACATGTTCTGGCAAAAATATTTTCACTTTCCTAAAGTTAAATGCTGTCTTCAAGTCCAACAATATTACATATATACATATATTTTGATCCTTTTCTGTCAGCAAAAAAGGGGAACAATTTTTTAAATGCCAAAACTGATTAATATTTGTGTAGAAGGAAGGTAGTTTCAGTTGTTTATAACTCAGACCACAGGTGTCATCAAAATATCAGCAACTGTCCCTAAATTCACATCTGTCAAAGGTCCTTCTCTCCACTCACATGAATTCGTCTGAATCATTGCCATCCTGAGGAAACAGAAAGTGAGAACCATAAGAGCCTTAAAAACAACTCAATTAGAACAGCAAACAATTAAAAAACAATTCAGAATTAGTCGTAACAAACAAGCCCCCTCATGCCTCACCAGAGGTCAGAAAGTACAGACAATTCCCTCATCGCATCTCCACCTTCAGTTGTAGGTGGTTCAGAAGAGCTGGAGAAGCAGCAAAATTCACTAAGCTGTCATTCTGCAGCTTGGATGACACAGCAAACGTGACGGCGACTCCGAAACCACAGAGCGAAGCCCACTGATGCCGCAGAGGAGGCCAGCATGGGTGCTTGGAGGCCGGACGCCTCCTTGAGCAGACCACAGCGTGAGGCCGAGTGAAGGCTGCCTCCGTGTCTGACCAACAACGCTGCTCCTACCCCAAGTATTTTTGGCCTTCAAGGTGGTCACCTATTTGTGACTTCACAAGATGGTTTTTTTGGACAGGAAGTCATCAGAAGGTTTCACGCAGGTGAGTTGCCAAGTCAGCTGACTTGTCAAAATCTTACATGATGGTACATGTCTAAAGGGCCTGGTTTTACAGTGTGACTCAGAAACAAGTCCTGAAGATCAAGGACAAACGTAGAGCCCAGATTCCTTTCCGAGCTACTGTACATCCCAAAAAAACACTCCAAGTGCCAGCATTCACATCTGTGAGAGTTCTGGTGCATTTGCTTGGAAGTCACAACTTTGACCTTGTGACTTGTTTCAGCCTCTCTCTCGTTCCCATTGCTCCACACCTGAGCTGTTCAGGAGTGGGGGGTGACTGTGGTACAGAGGCATGCCCGCTTCTCTCCTCCCTCACAGTTCTTATGAAGATGGGCAGGGGGAGAGGAGATACAGGTAGAAAACAATGGTTTCTGAGAAGTCTGGTGTTATCTCCAGTTTCACTCTGCAGCTTTTGCCATGCTTCTCTTCACACTGAGCACAAGACACGGAGGACTGACATGACTGTGGGAGTTAACTCAGGTTTCCACTCAGAACTATAACTGCCCTAGTGTTCTTTTTTTTTTTTTTTTTTTAAAGATTTATTTATTTATACAAGCACTGGGTATAGTCAGAAGCGCGGGAGGGTGAGAGAATTCACCGGAGCCCGAGCGGGGAGTAGAACAGGCAGACTGACGAAGTACACGGCTGAGGGGAGCAGCAGGCGGCAGGAGAGGTCTGCGCGCCATGTGGGACCCTCGCCAGTGGCCGGGGATCGAACCGGTGCTGCAGAGGCTGCGGGCAGCTTCGCAACCCAGCACTCAACCGCTGCGCCACCAGGGAGGCCCTGCCCTAGTGTTTTAAACCGAAGGCTTAGAAGCTTGAAAGAGCCGACCCATACCTTTGAGGGTGAACTTTAAACCCCAAAACACTGAGGGGAAGACAAATCTGGACTGGTGACAATGCGCTCTCGGGTCCAAAAAAGGCCGTGAGCGGGTTTGCAGGGAGTTCTTGGTGCAGGGACCTGTATTCTGGCAGGACAGTAACTTTCAACTACATGGATCTGAGCCCCGAGACACTCTCGGGATAACTAATAAATACCCTTTAGGCTCCCTTGTGAGAGGGCGTTTGTCAGCATCACTATTAGGCCTCTCATCTCCCGCTTATGGAACGATAAGGAAATGAAGGGACGGTAAACAGAACTGTGGTTCCTGATACCAAATTGAGGCAGATTAGACAAAGTGTTACAGATTGAAGACAATGATTCAACTGGAAAGCAAAAATTCAAAATTAAAACCAAGTAGGGGGTGAAAATCTGGTATTTTCGTGATGGATGTGTGTATGCGAGGTTAACATCACGTCCCACCTCACGCAAGCACCAGCCCTAACTGAGAGCCAACCCCCGCCCCGCTGGGAGCCTGGACCGCAAGGGCCTCGGGAGCCGGGGAAGGGGCAGGGCCGCCTGGGCGCTGCTCAGCTCCCGGCGCATTCAAACGCGAAGGCAGCAACAGAAACGGTTTGGAATGGTGGGACCCGGCAATGCTGCACAGGAAGACTGAAGCTGGGGCAAAATTAACCCAGACGAGTGTGGTGCTTTGAAAAGCGCGAAACCTGCTAGTGAGCTCGTCGTCTCTGTCAGAAGAGACTGAATCAGGGATGCTCAGGCAGAACGCCTGGGGCTGCCACGCCCGGGAGACCGCTGCTGGTCAGATGGCCGCCCCCCATCCCCACAGCCAGGTGAGGTGAGAGTGAAGACACGAGACAGCCATAAAAGCTACTGAGTAAAAATGGACCCTCTCAGTGAACCAGTATGAGACAATTCACCCAGCACAGTTGTCTTTACTTACTGGTAAATGGGAGCTTTCAAACAGCAACTTCTAACCATACCAAAGAAAAAAGAAATTACTTATAATGCTGCTGGAAGAAAATGTCTAAGGTAACAGGTGAACAAAACAAGCAGCATCTGTTCACAACACCCTGTTATCTGTGGGCTGGGCTCCAGTTACAACATTCAGGATTCCCGAAACTATCTGTGGTAAAAACTAGTTATAAAAAGTATCTAACTCAAGGATAATATTATCCTAAGTCTTTTTTACTGTTCCTTGCTTACATCCATCCCTGGATTTGGGTCAAAATGCTGCATGACCTTTCCAATGGAGAGGACTGGCAATGGAGAAAAGTGTTTGTTATACAAAGTCAGAAGAACAATATGACTGTGAGTTTTGCAACACGCTGTACTTGCAGCTACTATTTTGGTACAGTAAAGCAACAGCCTTGCAGGAAAATAAGCAACAGCTGAATGAGACACTCAACTTCATAAAATAAAATAATGCCTTTTCTTCTTATGCATGGGGAAAGCTGTAAGAATTCTTCCACTGAGAGAAAATAAAACACTCATTGTAAACCTTCCTCCAAAACTTGAACCTGACTCAAATGTGAAGCTCAGGAACAGGGCAGCAAATTCCAGAGGGAAAGAAAAAGCAGGGGGGTTCATTACCCTCTGGTCTGCAAATATGATTTCTTAATCCGGGAACTTTTACAGTTATCACTGTAAGACAGTGGTTGCATATATATATATACAAGTTTATAGGGGTGTGTGTATGTGACAGTGTATGTATGTATGTAACTCTGTGTGTGACTATATGTTTATACATCTAAACTCCAAAACATCCAAACTTAAAACCCCTAACAATGGGAATGAAAATCCTAACATCACAGCATTAAGTGCCAGATTTCTAATGGAAACTAGCCAGTAAACAACATAAAACTTCAACAAGCAACTGTAACCACAGCACAGATAATTAGATTTGGGGTATGTGAAAACTTCTGTTCAACTGTTAAACAATTTTAAGAACTCTGAGACCAACTTCTAGAAAGGATTTAAATACAACTCATCTTTTGGTACTGGTACTCTGTGGGAAAACAGCAACTAAGGACGGGCTTATTTAAATTTTAGAAGAGCCCCATTAGTTATGTCTCCCTTTTAATGCCAAGGAATACTCCTTAAAGAGGTCAGAGAACTGATGAGGCTTACTCAATTAGTAAATGAAAGTTTAAGCCTCTAATTCAAATTTTTAATTTAAGGCTCTATAATTACATAATGCCACTCTGGAATTTTTCAGGAATAAATTATAAACATCTCTGATTCACAAAGGAGCTTCACAAATTTAGTTATTCATAGAGCCTTACACATTTGAGAAGGATCTATATACCAAAAAAGTACCAAAAACCCTATTAACAATTGCAATTCACTAAATATGGGATTTGACTAAAAGATCTTTAAGGGACCTGAAATTCTATTAGTTGTTTTCAAGTATCTAAAGCAGTGCTGTTCCACAGTACTTTCTGTGATAATGGACATGTCCAATCTCAGCACTGTCCAATATAGCAGCCACGAACGAGCCATATGTGACTAGTGACCAAGAAACCGACTGTTAACTTAAATTTTCATTATTTTAAATTTAAATAGCTGCATGCGATTAGTAACTAGTGCACTGGACAGTACCGATCTAAAGCATCCAGTTGGTAAGCTGTACCATAAAACATGCACTACACCAAATCTATCCACCCAGCCTCAATTTTCATCAGACTTGATAGTAAGTAAATCATGACATTCCCAGACACTTCAAAATCAATCTGGGGAGACAGTACTTGTGAACAGTAAGGCCCTGAGCTAGCGCTCGCAAAATAATTAAGTGCTAAGGCCAGGGTCTTAGCACCGTAACACAGGCCACTGCTTCTCATCATGTCCGGTTCAGAGGCGCACTAAACCTGCAGGTAAGATCTAAAGGTCAATACTTGGTTTTCTTTATAGTTGAAGGTGTTAATTTTGTTTTCACACATGTATAATGTAGAATCTACAGCCACGTCAGACAGAACATTGTTAACAGGCACCTGTTAACAACCAGAAAAGAGGGCGAGAAACAAAGCAAGCCCTGGAACACTAAGGGCCCCGCCGTCTCAGCAGACGAGGCGTGACAGTCTCCTTCCACCAGGTGACCTGATTAAAAACAAACACAGGAGAAAGTCCACGGGGAGGAGGGTGATGCCCAACAGAAGTTGCCCACATGTGCGGCAGCTGCTAAATCCTGTGAAGCTGTTTCCAACATGCAAATCAATACTGGCTCAAAACTGGACAGTAACTCACTCATCACAAACTCCTGGTTTATTATTTTAAGGTACAGGAGAGCAAGAATGTAAGCATACCTGATTTGAAGACATATTCTCAACTTTCATTAATGACGAATAGCTCCTGGAGGAAAAACACATTTAAAATAAGATTATCCAGTCAGCCAATCTTTTGTGGAATTTATCTGGCACTGCTGAGGGTCATCAGCAGAAAGGCGAGAGTTGTGGATTCTGTGTATATGTGTTTAAGAGGATTCAATCCATCCCCGCGCACAAGCAATTGCAACATAAAAAGGCCCTATGATCAGCCGATGGGAGAGGAAGCATCGTTAACAGCTGGCCAAGGGCTTATTCCCGGCCACGCCATAGCACCTCCCCGCCACTCTGGGAAGCAGGTGACACGACTCCAATCTTTCTGCTGCGGGAAATGATCAACAGCCAAGAGCAGACCTGATTTGCAGCTAAGCACACTGCGGCTGTACCTATTCCCGGAAGCAAAGGAGCATATGCACCCATGTGGGCAGGGTTACCAGGGCACCCCTCTCAGAGGGAGAACTCAAACCGAGCCCGACAAGTGGGTAGGAGGCGCGAGGGGCGGGGTAGATCCAGGGAACGGGATGGCAGAGACAGAGGTGGCACTTATGACGACACTGCACAGACCAAGCCAACTCGCGTGGGGCCCTTTTCTAGCCCCCGTCAGGTTCTGCGCTGGTGTCTCTCACTCCCTCCACCGTACACGGCTTTTGAGGGTTGACCCCCGACTGGAAACGCAGAGGACACTCCTCCAGCAGGTGCGCGCGGATGGCGGAGCGGCAACACACCTGAGCTCGTCCATCTCCCTCTTCTTCTTCATCTCCTCCTTTTCTCTCCTTTTCATTTCCTGAATCTGGGCTTTCTTCTCATTCCGCTCCTCCCGGTCCCTGCACTCCTTCTCCGCGGCCAGGTCCGGGAACCGCTCTGTCTTGGTCTTTTCTAACCGGTTCAGGATCTCATTCACTTTCTTCTCCACGGTCACCATTTTCACCTTTGAGGGAGAGAGGGTGAAGTAAGAGTGAATTTTTTCTCTCCAATTCAGCACCCAACTTTTATTTTACTTGAGCTGCCACAATGTGGGGAAAATTACCATTAAAAATGTTGAACCTCTATTAGTTATAGTAAGTCTGTATTTATCATTGGCTTTCCCGCCCAGAACCGGAGAGAGGCTTTCCAGGGGCTTGGGAACCCAGCTTACTCCCCTTAAGAAAAGGTGGGTGGTGCTGGGCCCGCCACACCACAGGCACCAGGGCAGAGGAGGCCCCGCCCAGCGCGCAACAGAGCACTCACGTCCTTCTGCCTGTGAAAGCCTATCTGCCCCACATCCATGTCGGCTGTTTTCTTCAGGTTGGCCCACGGCGTATAGACCACAGTGATGTTGTTCATCTTGCAGCCTGCCAAGAGAGACCATCTCAGACGCAGGCAGGACCCCGAGTCGCCCTCCCTTACCCCCTGGCAAATGACCCCCCTCCAACAAAGACAAAGGCTCAGTAGGTCCAGGCCAGCAAGTGTTTCAAGCCACAGAATCCTCTTAAACACATACACACAGAATCCTCTTAAACACATACACATACAAAATGGTAAAGGTGACAGGTAATTCAAGCAAAGGACTACAATGGAAAAGCAGGGCCCATGAACTAGCTTCACGGACTTCTGAGACTCTCTAAAATTGAGTACAGGGCCTCCCCGGTGGCGCAGTGGTTGAGCGCTGGGTTGCGAAGCTGCCCACAGCCTCTGCAGTGCCGGTTTGATCCCCGGCCACCAACGAGGGTACCACATGGCGCGCAGACCTCTCCTGCCGCCTGCTGCTCCCCTCAGCAGTGTACTTCGTCAGTCTGCCTGCTCTGCTCCCCGCTCTGGCTCTGGTGAATTCGCTCACCCTCCCGCGCTTCTGACTATACCCAGTGCTTGTAAAAATAAATAAATCTTTAAAAAAAAAAAAAATTGAGTGCAAAATTTATTATATGTATTTCTTAAAAAAACAAAAGGACTAATGGACCAGCGTCTCAAAGGAGCTGGTACAGCCTAAGCAGCGGGACAAAGCAAAAAGTCCAGGCCTGGGACGCAAGAGGCCTACCTGCGACCCTGGCACTGCCCTGACCAGCTGTGTCACCGCAGAGACCTGGCTCTAGAGCTTCTGCCAGAACATGAGGAGAATGGACTGGTCTAGCTGACCCTTAGCCTGGGTCCAGATGGTGATGACAGGAAGGCACACAAAAGAGAAGGCAGAGGGAAGGGTACAGGCAAGTCCACAGGCGAGGGAAGAGCAAATGCCATTGGCAGGAGAGTGGAGCATGTGAAGCTAAGAGGTCCGTCGTCAGCCCAGGCCACCTTAAGTTAACACTCGACTGCACCAAGGCGGAGAAGGGGCAGAAACATGCAAGAGGTTTTAAGGTGAATATGGACAGGCCGACCAGATTCTCGGGGTACAAACACAGTGAACCCAACTCCCTGGTTCTAGGGCCTGACGGTGGTCACCAGGGAGCAAAGTGTCCTAACGGCACAGGGACCCCTGTGGAACACGCAGGACAGACGCCACAGCACACTCTTCTTCACTCCATCCCCTCCTGCTGCCTCACAGGAGGGAGACTCCAGGCCTAGCACCTCCCCCTGGGGAGTGAGGGTCACAGGGATGGCTGAGCAGGAGAGAGGGGCCATTCTGGTCACTCGCCCCTCCTCGTCTCTGTATCCTCTAGGGTCAGGAAACTCCAGAGAGGTTAAGAAGAAAGAGGCTGGACCAAGAACAGAGCGGGCAAAGGTCTTCTAACAAAGTCGCATCTGCTAGCCAGGCACATGGGGAGGGGAGATGAATGAATGAAGGTGCAACACACAAGGAAAGAAGATAATGATTGTTTTGAGTTTGATTATTTTTTTCTCCAATAACTGAAAATTTTCACTGGAAATCTTAGAAACTGTTCTGCTTGGAAAAACAGAACATCCTAGAACAAACTGAAGTTTAACGGCTCTCAGAGCTGACAACCAGTGGCTGCACAAGGTAAGACTCCGCGGGGTGGCGCGGCGCCTGGCTCACCACTAAGGCTGCCCCGCTAGGACCAGGAAGCACTGGCTGGTGGCGGGGAAGGGACAACGCTGCCCAGCTCCCGTCCGACAGTTGCCAACCCCCGGCACCCGTCAGCTACGCATCTCATCCGTGCTCACCCCGTTCCTTCTACCCTTCTGGGGCATCCTTAACTGCTAACAAACCACACGAACCCTTATTCTACCTAGACCTCGGTGCCATACCTAAAATCCAATTATTAGTTCAATTGTTCTTACAGAACACCATCTCCTGGCTCTCCTAACCCCCACCTACACCCCAATAATTGTCCTTTCTTGACCTGTAACTCACTATTAACAGATTAAGTTTTGTGCAGTAGAAGTAAGTACGCGCCGAGCTGTACAGGCTCTACCTAGAACACATCCCTACAGAACAGGCTGGCTGTTCTCAACCCTCTCTCTCAGGCACATGAGAATATCCCAGAGAAACTCACAGGTTACCTTTCCTCAATTAAACAAGAATCTCTGGGAGATGGCTCTCAAAAACAAATGATTTTGAGCCCGCGGCCTCTGCGGCGCCGGTTCGATCCCCGGCTGCTCCCCGGCCACCGGAGGAGGATCCCACATGGTGCGCAGACCTCTCCTGCCACCCGATGCTCCCCTCAGCAGTGTACTTCAGCCCTTCTGCCTGCTCTGCTCCCCGCTCTGGCTCTGGTGAATTCTCTCACCCTCCCGCGCTTCTGACTGTACCCAGTGCATGTATAAACAAAAAACAAACAAATATAATAAATAAATAAAAACATGCCTCTATAAAAAAAAAAATAAATAAATAAAAACAAATGATTTTGAAATCTTCATAATCTCAGCAAGAGAAAAAAGTACATTAGAGGAGGGACGAGAGGCAAAAGTAGCAAAGAGTGATATAGAGACTTCTGAGTTCTAGAACCTACTGACAAGTGATAAAGATCTCAAACAACATTAAAGATAAAGCCATGAGACTTATCCCTTGGTAAGTTACTAACATCAGCTATTTTCCAGAAGTCTTTCTACAAATGTTTAGGGCAAGTGGATTCAGACAATCTTCTGTCAAAGGCAAGGAAAACAGGGCACAGGAGCTGACATCAGAGGGAGGGAGGATCAGCTCTCAGTTCTTTGGCAGGCAACAGACAGAAACAGCAGCGAGGCGGAGCACAAGTCAGAGTTGGTAGCACGGCCTCTAAACCACAATGCACTTCAGACGCAGAAGTCAGGGTGAACTGTGAAGACACTTCTAGGAAAACTGACCTTGAATGCTGTTGGCCTTCACAAGGTGGGCACAGTCCATCAGCACGTCCTTGGGAATGTCCTCTATCTTCTCTCCCTGAAACAAAAATAAACCACATGCCACTATCTGTTGCCGATCAATAGGTAGCACTCCCAGGCTTTGCTCCTTAATAGGCACAACTTTATTTCAGGTAGGGGCTCTTCAATTGTAAGTCAGAACACTGAAAATGATGCTATGGGGGGGTGTTTATTTACAAGTGAAGGCAGTTATATGGAAAATACTGATAGCAAAACAGTCACTGGAATTATATCTGAGAGATTTTTTTTCTCTTTCTTCTCTCGTCCTTCTCTAGAAATCTTGAGGGAAATAGTGCCTACCTTTGACAAAGGAAGGTCTTCTCAGCTGAGGGTCCTATGACCTGAGTTTGGGGTCTCAAATTTCTGCTAGACCATCGACCCCCAGGCTCACTCAGGAAGAAAGTTCTTTGGTGCACTAGACCTAGCCATTCACCGAAAGGGAGAACTAATACGGCCTCATTTTCTCAACAGATACTGTGTCAGGGTCAAAGCTGAATAAGCAAAGCTATTCCAAGGTAAAAGTAGTTCAGAGGCAAGAGCAAGAGGAAATCAATTCAGCACTGCGGCTGCTAGGCATGGGTTACGGAAGCTTCCGTCTGGGAATGAAATGTTTGACCTAACTAATGCTTGCAATAATCGAATTTATTTTATTATACTTTGGCTTATTTTGCTTTATTTTGAAGGCTTTTTATTTAAAATGACGAGAATCTCTGACATGCATTCTGACCCACACACAAGCCGTACGGAATGTGGCACTGCTGCGGAGATCTGGCTGCAGCGATAGCAGTTCTGCCAGGCCTCGACCTCGGCCTGTGCAATTTCCTGACCATTTATAAGTTTCTGAATTCAACATCAGTCCCTGGAAGTCAGCAGTGTGAACACCAACCATGAAGCACACAGAAGCTGGTGGGCTCTATACTAAATAAATCAAAGTGAACAGTCAAAAAACAAAACAGGAGCTATTCTGGAGTACCCCACATGCCAGGCACATGGTAAACAGCCACGTGACATGCAAGCATTATCCGCCCTGAAGCTGAGGGAGGCAGAGAAGCAGCCCAGCACCCATCACGACTAAGCAGCCTCGCCAAGAGACGACCAGGATGCAGGTCAGGCTCCAACAACCGCTGCAGCTGCGGCACCTTGTGAGCCTCCTGGTCCAGCTACAAGGCCCTTCGAAGGAGCCCTTTCTTACTCCCTGTGGCTGTCAATGTTCCTAAAGCCATCTCCTCCTTTTTCGCTACTTCTAATATAAAGTGAGCAGGCCAAGAAAAAAATCATTCGTTCTAGCATTTTGCAGAAAATTACTGTAAAATTTGGAGTGCGGCGTCTTGGGAGCTCACAGTATGTAGAAGCCAGAATTCTGACTTGGGCTTTGGGGCATGTCTGTTAATGTCAGAACCCTCTAGTTAAGTGGGATTTTTCACAAGTTTTCAAAACTCAAGAAAGCATAAGAAGACTGTAGAATACCTGTATCTTCTATGGTTTGGGTTGAATTCAACAAAAAAGTCACTGCATTTAGTGCTCAATGTGTGCCAGGCATCATTCTAAGGGCCCCACGTGCCAGTTCATTTAAGCCAATGGGACGGGGTGGTGTGGTTTGGTCACTGCCACACAGCTGGTCACTGGGAGAGCCCAGGGCAAGGCCAGGGTCTGGCTGTAGACTGACCCACTTTCCTTAGTCCTACTCCACAGCGTACTTGGCACCGACTGAGCACAAAGGTCCTTGCAGCTGCTGCAGGCCATGAGCTCACGCTCCTAGGAGCACTCTGTCACCTTGAGCACACCACGTGCTTCCCAGAGAAAGCAAGCTCACACTCCTGGAAGACCAGCTCAGCCCGAGGCACTGTGAACATGGACTACCACCATTTCCATTTTCCAACAAAGCAGAACCCAGAGAAAAAAAATTTAATCTGCAAAAGGAAAATGAGTAACATCTGATGCTATTTTCTCTGAACTTAAATTATTCCAAAACATGAAGAAGCTGCCTAGGAGAAGGCCAACGTTTTGTCATCATCATTGCTCCAGCAGAGTTCATGGTCTTCATCTTTCCCTTCACGATACAAAGCCCAATAATATGCACAGTACGAGTAACGATGGCCACAATGGCCAGCCTTGCTAAGTGAACAAAGAAAATATTGGAAAAAACAAAAATTGAATAAAAATACATTAAAAAAAGAAGTAATGGGCCTCCCTGGTGGCGCAAGGGTTAAGACGCAACTTACGAAGCTATCTGCAGCCACCGCAGCACGAGTTCAATTCCTGGCCAGCCAGGGAGCTACCCACATGGCGCAGCAGACCTCTCCTGACTCGCCCTCTGCTCCCCTCAGCGGTGTACTTTGGTCAATCTGTCTTGTTCTGTTCCTCAATCTGTCTCTGGTGAATCCCCTCACACACCCCCACCTCACCGCTCCTCTGGCCTGTACCCCAGTTCTTGTATGCATAAATAAATACATCTTTGAAAAAAAAAAACCAAAAACTAGAAAAAGGAAAAAAAGTATCACAACAAAAAAAGAAAAAAATCTAAAAATACAAAGAATAAAGGAAAAAAAACAGAACCACAATGAAGTAGCAATTTATATTTATTAAAATGGTTGAAGACTACTACCATAAGATCCTAAAAAGTTGATGAAAAACCTATCTGTATCAGACAGCATTTTAAACTACCATAGCACGATCATGAAAGGCATTACAGAAATGTTTCTATCATTTGACCTAGCAATTCCATTTCTGAGAATTACCCTAGAAAAGTAATTCAAGACAGGGCCTCCCTGGTGGCGCAAGGGGTTAAGATGCAACCTATGAAGCTGTCCGCAGCCACTGCAACATGAGTTCAATCCCCCGGCCAGCCAGGGAGCTACCCACATGGCGCAGCAGACCTCTCCTGTCTCACCTGCTGCTCCCCTCAGCAGTGTATTTCAGTCAGTCTGCCTGTTCTGCTCCCCACTCTGTTTCTGGTGAATCCTCTCACCACTTGCACCTCTAGCCTACAGTTCTTGTGTGCATAAATAAATCTTTAAAAAAAAAAAAGAAAAGTAATTCAAGACAAACTCTCGTGAGGGAGCGTCATGCTGGAGCTACATTCTGTCATGCTGGAGCTACATTCTGACGGGGAGCCTGTCTACTCACTGCGGCCTATCATCTACCCCAAAAGTGCCAGTCAACACAGTAACTGAGAATAATAAAGTTTATAAAAAGTCACTTTCAAAATGGGGGATGCCATGGTGGATAGTAGATGGTCGCAGGTACCTGCCCCCCAAATGTCTGACACGCGGCAGAAAGGCGGGGTGGGGGGGGACATGAAGCAGCCCCAAGGAGCTCTGGGAAGCAGCATTCTCGCTGGAAACGCAAAGCACAATGACAACTGCACGTCACTGCAGCGTGCTGGCTGACGAGCACCACGTGCACACATTCTGGAGAGAAATGAGCAGGGGTGGTGGGCGGTGGCAGCCAGGCTTCTATCTGAGGAGAGTGACAGGAAGCAAGGCTCAAAGGGCCTCTGTAGTGAAGGTTAGTCAGACACAGCAGCACGAGCTTGTGTCTTGCTGAGTGTGGACACAGATGGAGACACTCACATCTGCGTGTACACGAACTGGCACACATGCATACCCAGCACCATCCACTGAAGGCCCAGCAGCAATGATGCCCAGATACTGGCTCCCAGATGCCATTCCCCACTGAAGGAACCAGTGTCACCTGGAGCCACCTGATTCTAGGGTCTGGGCCGGGCAGCCTCTTGGGGTACCAGAAAGCGAGGAAGTGCTCAAAAAATAGAAGGATGGAGCAAGGCAAAGGCAGGCAGGAGACAAGCTGGACCAACTCGAGCAACAAAGCAGCACAGCACAGGAAGTCCTCGATTAACGGGGACAGTCCTTGAGAAGGAGCTCTAGGCTAAGTGACAAACAAGAGCAGGTCCTCAAGTAACATAACGTCATTGCCACATGAGCCTGGATGTCTCACCCTCGACGTTACGATGGAACATTGAGTAAAACATTATTTGAAGAGCTGCTTTACTGAACTGTCTGAGTTCAGTAAAGTGAGTCTTTATTGACTCAAATAAATAGCTGAATCAATAAATGGGGGGGAGGGGAGATAAATCTTCCCGACACAAGAACTGCAAATAAACGTAGATTCTCCCCAATCCTGGAAGCGGAGCCCCGCCCCACCCCCGCCTCTGAGAGTGGGCTGGGCTCCGGGACTTGCTTCCCAGGAACAGAGTATGGAAGTGGGAGAAAAGCAGCTCCATGGGGGAAACCTGGCAAACGCTGCCCTAGCCGGGCATCAAGGTCAAGAGCATCAGTGACAGGTCTGTCAATGCCTGTGCCCCCTGACATGAAGGGCCCACACGGGCACTGCACCCCTGTGTTGTTCTTCCCCCAAACCCTGAACTCCAATCAGGAGAAAACATCAGACGAACTCACGCCGAGACTCTGCACAACACCTGACCATACCTCTCAAAGAGCCAAGGTCACGCACAAAGGGAAGGTGAGAAGCTGCCACAGACCGGAGGAGACCAGACTGGCACACGTGACGATGAAACGCAGGTGGGGCCCTGGACTGGCCCTGGGCCAGGGAGACACTGAGGGAAGCAAGTCCAGCGCTTAGCTGGCAGCAATTTATCGCATTGGTTTTCGTAGTTTTGACAAATCTACATGGTCATGTGAGCTGTTAGCAATGGGGGATTGGGCCCGGGGAACATGGGGACTCGGCACCATCTTTCTAACTTTTCTATAAATCTAAAATCATCCCAAAGCAAAATATTTTTAAAAATAAAAGGAGCCATACACACAACAAGCATAAACAGCCTGTAATCCAACTGTACAAATGAATGTAAAGACAGACTGGAAAGAACACGGGTATCCTGTCGCTAGAGAACATTCGCTCTTTCCCCTGAACCACTTTAAAGCCTCCCACAAGCCCAGCAGCAGGGGCCACGGCGTGCTCTCTGTGGGGAAGACGCGAGCGCAGCGGCGCCAGGCAACGGAAGGGAGGCAAAGCCAAGGAGACAGGCGCCAGGAGGCCCCGGCAGGACACGGTGGCGCTTCGGGCCAGAATACAGGCTCTGTCCCCGCCCAGTCTCCAAATCCCCCCAAATTTCCCTTAGCGAGTCTGCAGGTCAGGGGAGGGTGTCTCTTCATGGCTGAGTTTTAGACTTCCATACATATTTGTTACTTGAAGGAACGCCATTGCAGAAAAAAGTAGAGCCACGAGAGGATGCCCATCACTAAAGAAGTCACCAAAGCACGTTTGAATCCGGTTACCTTATGCAATCGGAGGTATACATGAGCCGAGGAGAGTTTGTCCACATGAAACCTACAAGGAATGAAAACCACTTTTAGCAAGAGATACGAGACAACCAGCTCAGGCCACTGGCACTTACTGGCATTCCTATGCGCACGTCCTCACTCAGTGCCACCCAGATGCTGGGCACCATGGAGCACAACACACAGGCACAGCCGGGCCTCCAAAAGGCCCCCTAGGAACGCCGGGAGCACTGCAGCTGTGTGAGTGTGAGGGCCAGGAGGGCGTTTCCAAGCTAGACGCAGCTATCAGCAACCAGGCACAGAACAGGGGTTGGGTGGGGCCTACAGAAGCGAAGGACTTAGAGAAAACACAGGTAACGAAATTCCAGGTGAGAAGAGAAGGGAGTGAAAGAAGCCACTGAGAGGCTGAGAGCCCGGCAGGACCAACAGGAAAAGACCTCACAGTTGGAGCAGCACCAGTTTGGAGAGAAAGAGAAGGGGCTGGAACATCCTGAGGTTCAAGCAAAGGCAAAACAATCCAAAGAGAATGTCAAGCAGAGAGTTGGGGGGGGGGCTGGAGAGGAAAGCCTCAGGACAGAAGGCAGACCAGCACAGACGGGGCCCACAGAAGGACAGCAATGACCCACGAGCCCTATACTCCGACCACAGCAGTGACCCACGCGAGAATGAGACTGGTCTGTGACACTGTCCTCAAAACACTCAGAATGCCCGCCCGGCCCACATCCGAAATTTACCTTTCATGAGGCGCCAATCACCCACCAACTTAATGAAATCTCTTCAACTTACTTCCTTTTCCACCAAACGCAACATTTAGGGATACTAGATTTTTCATAGTTACAATCCACCCAGCAAAGCCGACATCTTTCAGCACCCAGAGAAGCCCCAGCCTCACACAGGGGACAAAGGAACAGACTGTCGCTCTGAGATTCCGCTAACTTCAGTCACCTCCTCCTGAGTCCCTCCCTATCCTGTATGAGGAGTGTTGGGTAAGACCCCAAGGAGGCACCGTTACATCCCATTGTTTCTCGAGACATGTTCTTAACCCAGATGTATTTTCTGGAAGTGAAAACGGACACAGGGTGAAGTCATGTTGTCTCTAGAGCACTCTGCAATGTCACCCTGGATCGATAAAAATACTAGGCATTTTTGGCTAACAGTCTATGATGACTCAGGTTTTATTCTGATCTTGACTGAGAGCCACAAGTAGACATAACATGCTTGAATTATTTTTCTCCAAGAGATTTATTTAGGGCCTCACCAGTGGCGCAGCGGCTGACCGCTGGTCTGCGAAGCTGCCCGCAGCCTCTGCAGTACTGGTTCGATCCCCGGCTGCCAGGCGAGGATCCCACATGGCATAGTAGACCTCTCCTGTCTTGCCCGCTGCTCCCCTCAGCAGTGTATTTCGTCAGTCTGCCTGTTCTGCTCCCCACTCTGGCTCTGGTGAGTTCTCTCACCCTCACGCACTTCTGACTATACCCAGTGCTTGTATAAATAAATAACTAAATCTTTTTTTTTTTTTAAAAAAAAAAAAGATCTATTTACTCATTTACATTCAGAGATTCCTGGTTATTGTTTCCAATTTGGTACTTTCCACCAGAAAAATGTGTTTTTGGTACATCTAGAAATTACATCTCAATACCCTTTTTCAGGATGTCAGGGAAACACCACGTTAGTAAGTGAGCTCAATTGAGCGGCAGCTTCTCCACTCCAGCGTCTACTTGTTTGAAACTGGTTCTCCATTTACGACCCTTTCCTGCAGAAGCACAGGGCCTCCCCTGTAGCGGATGTTTCTTAGTGGTGTCTGATGTAGAATTCCGTCCAAAGAAATATCAAAAAAACGCAACATATAGCTAATGGAGCCGCACACGCGCGAACTGCTGGCACGCGGCCTGTCACTGCCTAGTGGACCAACTTTAGCTAGGCTCTGCAAATGGCAGAGGAGGGCAGCCGGGGGCTGTGGCTGAAATGCAAACCAAGAAAAACCAGGTCTGTGAACAAAAGTGTCGTGAGCAACTTCCATCTTCCTCCCGCCCCAAAATCAGTGCCCTTGCTGGGTGCAGACCAGAAACTCCACAGATGCACCTGGGTGGCAGGAGGACACGGGACGCAGGATGCTAGGAGCTGGGTCCTCTGCTTCCCTCGCTGAGGCAGTGAGGTACACAATTTCTATTTTTCTTTGTTTAATTAAAAGTGGATTTAGTTCCACTCTCACTAATACTAGAAAAACCCTTCACTTGGAGGTAGCCCGGGAGGTCTCCTGGAGAAAATGCAGATGCTGGTATTCAGAGAAGCGGCGGTGAAATCTGCCCTGGGATGTGGGCCCAGGAATGATTCCAGGATCTGCAGTCTATAAGCCAGAATGGATCTTGAAATTTAGGGTAATTCCAGCTTACATCAAACCTCAAATAGCTTCTTTGAAAGGTCAATCACTTCCAACAATAGTGGTTAACCTCAAGACGACTTGAGTGCCCACATGGGCATCCAGGTCATCTGTAGACACGGACTTGTAACTGACATACCAGGAGACAGTCGGCCTTGATGAAATGCAAACCCTAACCCTACAGGTGGGATATGGTAGTAAACTAGAAAATTTCTCTTCCATTTCATTTTTCCCTTAATGTCAGATAAAAGGCTGTGGCAAAGTGAATTTCATGGGACACCTGCAGATGTTACCTTTCCATGCACACACTTCTGCCTCCCACCTGACCAGGTAGAAGTTCTCAGCAGGTGACTGCATTCCAGGTACATCTCCCTGACCAGCATGGAAAGCTATGGGTTTTAAAGACAAAGGATACAATCCAGTCGGGGTGACAGGTGCTCAAAACAGAGGCCTCCCAAGTGCAGTGACTGTGAGAAAGGCCCTGGAGGCAGCAGAGAGCTACTTAGTTAGGAAGTCAGCAAGCTTGACTGCAGGTTCTTGGGCACAACTACCGGGGACCTACCAATAGCACAAAGCAGTCACTGTCCCCAGGGGCTCACTTCTAGCTGAGAGCTCTAGGAAGGCAGGTAGCACCCAATCCAGAGTCCTCAGCACAAGCAAACTGCCCACCCACACTAAGGGACCCCAAGGAGTATCCCCCCGATGATGTACTTGAATTCAGAACAGGGGCCTTTGTAATTGGAGGGGCGCAGATTTTAAAGTCTTGAAAATCCCTTCTTACCAGGGAGGCCTTCAGGAGTCCCTGCAGACTGGCCCGGGGTCTGGGCAGAGCCCACACAGGGGCAGCCCGAGTCCCTCTGTGGAGCAGTCCTTCCCAAAATGTTCAGGCTTATACCTTTTCTAAAATGCAGCAGCCGAACTGTGACTGCAGGGAAATAAGTGAAGGGTCTGGGCCCACAACCCAGAGAGAGAAGAGGTCCAGAGAAAGTCGCAACAACAGCCCAAGGAAAGAAAAGTGACTTGCGGCCCATAAGTGGCCGAGCCAAGATGGGAAGGGGGAGCAGTGACTCAGAGGTAGAGGTTGTTGGGGGCAGCCACTGCAGAGCAGAGGTGTTCTGGTGTTCTGGTTTCCCCTAGCCTTAGTCACCTATCAGAGCAACGGGGGTGGAGGGAGCAACCACCTCCCAGGGCTGTTTTGCAGTGAAATGTACCGATGAGGGAAAACAGCTCAAGGTACTCGGCAGGTGGTCATGTGCCGCATACATGGTCACTCTGACTGTCAGCAAAGCCAACAGGTCTGGACACTGATCCTCAGAGGTGGCACTTGGCAGGGGTGTTCGTAGTGAGGAGACCACATCCTGCTCAGCAGGTGGAATGAGACTCCAGAGGAGACATCGCAGGTCAGGGGGGATGGAGGGGGGCTGGGACAGAAAGCCAGCACGCTGCGTGGGAGAGCACTACAAGAAAGCAGGAGAGAAAGACCGACCGGGCGCCCACCCACTCCTAAGAGGGCCTGGTTTAGTGGTCAAGCCCATATGGCAAGATGATTTCTAAGACAATAAAACAAAACAAAACAATTTAGGTAAAGTGAAAGAACTTTTTTCTGTTAATTTGTTTTGGTTTTTGGAGTGGCTTTGTAGCAGCCTCCTTAGGAGGAGGCTGAGTGTACATATCATTATTTTTTAAATTTCCATGAATTATGTTAGAAAGAAAGGGCAAGGAGAAGCCAGAGCTAAATCCAGGAAGGAGGTAAGAAGACAAAGGACGCCAGTCCGTCTCCGAACAGCCGGGTCTGGTCAGAAGCTGTGTCTACGCGGGAACTGGGGTCTATTTTCTTCACAGATTCTTACGAAGCCCATGTAAATGCTGTGATCTCAGTAACTTATTCTGAGCAGACAAAAAGGAGGTAAAAGCCTATATTCCAGAGCTCTTTGCGCTTAGGCCTGAGATCTAAGCCAGAAGTATCATTACCAGTTTTCATGGTAATTACAAAGGGAGGGAGCTGGCAGTTACCTGTTCACTGTTGATGGCTCATAAAAATACATACCCCAAGTTCGAGTCATAGAGTCATAGAGTCATAGAGTCAGGTGGGTGGCCAAGTATAAGAAAGTAAATAATGACTCACAAAATGCAGAACCAACATTGTTACTTACCAGATATCCTCCGGCCAGCCATGCTTTATTAGATCTTCATCTACAGTGAGATACAAGGGACAGAGAACAGGTAAGGAAGACTGTCTAAGGAAGCTATTCCAGAGTTTACAGTCAGCTGGGGAGGGGAGAAATACCAGTCCTTTCCACATGTTTTTTTCTCCTTTAATGGAGAAAAATAATTCTGAGACACTTTGGATGTCTGAAAACATAGAAAAAATCATAAAAAGCTTTTACGAATATAATAACCTTTATAATTTTTTAATAAAAATACTTACAATCAAAGTTCAATTATATTTCTCTTTGAGAATAATAAACACTGACAATTCAGAGTAGCTGAGAAACTAGATGATATCTTAGGAAACTGCTTCACTGTAACGATCCATGTTTAAATAGTTTTGCAAAAGGGTCTCCCTGGAAGACACAACCTAGGAAGCTGTCCACAGCCACTGCAGCACAGAGTTGGATCCCCGGCCAGGGAGGTGACCCACATGGCGCAGCAGACCTCTCCTGTTTCGCCCGCTGCTCCCCTCAGGAGTGTATTTCAGACAGTCTGCCTGTTCTGTTCCCTACTCTGTGTCTGGTGACTCCTCTTACCCCACACACACACCTCTGGCCTGTACCCCAGTTCTTGTATGCATAAATAAATAAATCTTTTAAAAAATATAGTTTTGCAAAAAACTATGGACTGCATTTTTAGTTGTTTAAAAAAAAATCTCAAACATAAAATTCTAGAAAATTAGGGAACAAAACAAATGAGTATAAAAAGAACATAAAAATCACCTAAAATTCAAACAAAAATGAAAATAAAATCGAATAGTCAAGAGTCCAAAGTATCTATCTCTGGGGATTAGAACACAAGTACTGAGAAAGGATGAGGGCAAGTTGATGTTTTTCGTTGTGAGCATGGTTATTATCTGAATTCTTAAAACACCTGTTAGACAAAAATAAAATCTGAAAAAGTTCTTTGGAAACAATGACTACTTAGGTGTTGTATGGATAAGCTTTCCTATTGCTGACATTTGTGCTAATTATGTTTCAATAAATCTTTTTTAAAAATATATTCCTGATTATTTCCTTCAGGTATATTTCTAAAAGGTGAAGAAGTACTAGTGCAAAACGTATGTACATTTTTAAGACTAATAATACATATCACTATAGGTGATTATATTAATATACTCTAAGCCCAGGCACATTAATAATTAGTAACTAATTGTATTTAACACAAAAGCATTACTTAACATATCAGCACCAAGCTAAAGATTATAAGGCAAAGTATAGAATAACCCTAAGTACAGGGTAATTTTAAGTGTATCCAAGAAAGCATAATACACTTAACTTGAGCAAAGTCAAAGAGATGATAAATCTGGGCAAAATTTTGCAAAAAGTTTTCTTAGTAATTGTCTCTTCACAGACACCGCATGTATTCTGAAGGGCTTTCTACTTGCTTAAGTGGGAAGCTGAGCAAACAGTCAACAGGAAATCAGAAAAAGTAAAAGGAAATAATGGAAACCACTTTTCCTCAGTCAGGCATTGTTGGCTCCCTGGTGACACCTGCTGGCTGATGGAAAGCACAGACCTGACAGCCTCACAGGGCAAGTAAGTCAGCCCACCTGACCCTCATCTGAAATCTTCCAGGCCCTTAGAATTGTGAGGTGAGCGTGTGGCACCGTCCTTACAAACCAGGCTGTGTCTGACTGACCCCAACAGTTCCTGAAAGTGGGTTTCCCATTTTTGACAACAAACCACCACCACACAGCATGCTAGGAATAATCTCAATGTACATCTGTAGACCCAAATTCTACTGATAAATACCAACAATGGACATTTAAAGAATCCCACAAGCCAACCCATGCCCACCCACTCCTGAGGGAGCCTCCCAAGCGCTCCCTCCTCACACTGACTCTTTGTCCTTCCACTCGTAACAGCATTTGCTACTGATCTTCCTTTACTCCATCCATTTTTAGAAACTTTTAGAGCAGTATTAGGTTCACAGTACAGCTTGGCCCTGCTGGTTTCCGTGTGGGTGTCCACCTGCAAACGCTCACCGGCGGCTTCTGGGGACCCACCATATGGCCCCAACAAGCTCCCACAAGAAGTAAACTCAGCGGGAGAAAGAGAGGCAGGGTGGGACCGTCACTGCAGGGACTACACAAGGCCCACCCACGAGCAGCAGTGCAGACACAAATATCCATATGTGCAGCTCTGTTCAGGCGCCCCTAGGTGACCTAACTCTCAGGTTCCCATCCTTGACATGACAGGAGGCAAAGCAGACCTGGCAGGCTGGTGTCTCATCTCCCAGAGATACCTGAGTCTCGTGGCTGTGTCCTACTGCTCAACACGACACAGGGAGAGCGCACACCTGCCTCTGCGGCACGCACCAGAAGGACACCATGAGATTAGACACAGACTGGCTATGACAATGCGCGGGTTACCGGGAGACATGTATAACCCAGTCCCCACACACTGCATGCAGCCTGCTTCCCATGAAGTCACACCCAGAGTCAGAGTCGTAAGTTCATTAAAAGGAAAAACTTTAAAAATGGGAGTTGTTTTGTCTTGTTTTAATTTTCTCTTGCTAGAATGTAATAGTCTCTCGCTGAGACTGAGTCTGTGTTATGGCAACCACTGTTACTGCCAGGTGCCAGCATCTGTCTGACTTATAAATAACTATGTGTACGCAGAATACTATATACAGTGGTAACATTTATATGCCACTATACACAAACACAATTGCTGTAGTTACATATAGTTATATGTAATTACATAATTGTATGTCACTGCTATCACTACTGTGCCAACTTTTCACTCTTGGCCTAATGATTTCATGAATGTGAAATATTTCAATCTGAAAAAGAATATTATACTTGCCTCTTTTAAAGGCATATGAAGGTTACATTCAAACTATTGTCCATCTCAAGCTGTACCACAGATGCTGTGGTGAATGGGACAGCTGCCGGCTACTGAGGCCTCAAACCCTAGAGGGATCCCAGGGAGGGAGGAGGCGGCCCTGGGCAGTGAAAGAAGTTCCAGTGAAGGTAACTGGCATTTGCTGAGTGCCCGAGAACCAGGCACTTCACCCAGCCTCTTTTATTTATTTAACTTCCACCGCCGTGCAGGTTCATTCTCTCTGTGACCCCCTCCTCATACCTAGGAAACCTGAGGCTCAAAGAGATGGAGTGACACAGCCAGTCTGCCCAAGAGCTGGGGCCTTTACCTAGGTTGGCCTGACCCAAAGCTCCTTCCAAATCATCACCCACCCCAGTGAGAAGAGCAGCTGCGTTTCCAGTCTTGAAGAAGAGTGTGACTCACGCTCCCCAACTCTTCTCCCCCTCACACCCGAGACCGTGCGGTAAAGCCTCAAGAGTGCGGACAGTCTCTTCTGTCTCCCGCCTCATTTAGTCAAAAAGGCTACTTTTCCCCCAAAGCAGTGTCTTTGTTTTAAACTTTAGTTCAAATTAATTGCTGGATCAAAAAATTAATTTAGGTCAAGAATAGTTTAATGAAGTAAAACAGAAAAGGGCATAGCAAATAGTATGAGTGGTTTTTATAAATTTGTTTTAGTTATATAATTTATATAGTATGAAAAAAATGTATTTCATTCTGAAGAGAGTGGTCAACAAACTGAAAAACCAGCATGTCATGATTCCAAAAGAGTCACCTTCAGTCCCAAAAAACCATGCTAATCTTAAATGTGGCAAGATTGTGTAGAAAATGATCTTTTCAAAGTCAAAGCCACAGCTTGTTTTTATTTGAGCTAATAAATTAACACAGGTCAACTTCTGATTCACACTACCCTAAATCAAGTAACACCACAAAATTCTTTGTTTCTAATCAACAACAGGTAGGCCTGTCAGCTCAAATACTGATAAGACTCAATTCTGGAGAACTCCGCTGAAGGGTCATATTATTATAATGAGTTATTTAATAGAATCAACAGGTTACTTCAAAACTCAAATCCAACCATACGAGGGGAAAGACAATGAACACTTACCTGCTAGAAATTTCAAAATCAAATGCTTTTGGAAACTTACTTTCATATTTATCCTTTCCCATGTAAATAGTGTAAGCAGATGAATTAACTAAGACAAAAAAAAAAATAAAAACCAGTTAGATAAAATTCATCACCAACCAAACTGTTTCATGAGAAAAACAAGTGACAAGGGATTAGATTAGAGGTTGACAAAGTGGTCCATAGGAACAAATCCAGCCCTGGTTTAGGCAGTCCTCAAGCTAAGAAATATTTTTACATCTTTAAAGAGTTGGGGGGGGGTAGGTGGGAGGGAAGCAAATAATAAGCTACCAAAACTGTTGGCAGTTCACAAAATCTAAAATATTTACTATCTGGCCCAAACGGCAAGTTGCCTGACCTTATAAATAGTGACTTTCCTACTTCCTCAGGGATTTAATTTAGTGAATTGCAGTTCAGGTTTATGTACTTGCCTCTTAAGAAATTTAAAACAAAAAGCCTGAACATTTACCTCAACTATTTAAGAATAGATTCTTTTACTAAGCCCATTTTTTTTTTCATAATCCTACTTAGCCAAAATTATTTTTCTATTACCATCTTATTAACAGCTATTTAGCTACAAATTATAATGGATTCCCTACCCCATTAAGGAGAAACACAGCTCATAAACAAACTTCTAAATCAGCTGCTCCAGACCCTGATTATACAGCATTAGACTCATCCCACTAAGCTAATGGTGTGAGCAGGAGACTTGCCTTTTTTAAATATTCTCCAAGTGATTCTAATGTGAAGTCAGCACAATCCTAAATCAAATGGAATATTCTGGGTATGGCTTACCTATCAAAGGACACTTGCCTTACTGAGGCAGTGTGTCTTAACATGGCATCTTCCATCTGGAGTCAGTCTCCTAACTGGCTCAGCTACCAAAGCTCAGCTATCCAAGCTCAGCTACCAAAACTTACTACATCTGGCTCTCAACTCCTGGGGCCCTCAGTCTACACAGCCTGACAAGGGTGAGCAGGCAGGGTTCTCTCTGAGCACAGATCTAAGATTAAGTGTTCAGGAACATACTCTTTCACATATAAATCCTTCAACCTGGGCCTCCCCACACTTTCAATAATGAGAAGCTCCCCAGATTATCCATCGCAGTCGCCTCTCCTGGGGAAAGGCCCTCAGTGAGCAGTCCCAGTGACTGCAGTTCATAATTATTTAGAAGTAGCTGTTGAAAGATTTAACTTGAGAGGATGTTTGAATTGATGATTGCTGGTGGACATACCTGTCTATAGCAAGCACTTTATTAGTTGGTAAGGCCTTAGCGTAGCAAGGAATACAGGCCAGACGTGCAGAGTAAAACCAAAAAGTGTTCAGCTTCTCTGCACAACCTGGCAATACTTCAGGCGTTTACCTTTTGGTCCTATAATGTCACCTTCAGGAGTATATCCCGCAAGAGTCCACCAAGCACTGATGTTCTTTTTACAGACTAGACAGTCATTAAGACTGGATAAATACATTAGAGAACACCCAAATACAAAATGCCATGGATCCACTAAAGAGGGCAGGGGAAAAATTAAATAGAAGAGCATTTTTACATATCTATACAAAGACTCAATATGGAAGAAAAAAGGATGATTGTACATATACATGTTTACATATATTTTTAATATAAACACCCAGTTTCTTTATACATATGGAAAGACATGTATCTGTAAGTAATATTTAACTTGGTTAGCTCACTTACAAGATGGCTTTTGTAATCAGAACAAACGTAATCTTCAAAATATCTTTTTAAAAGTTGTCTAAATTATAACCCAGGAAATGGCAGATGACTGGCCAGCAGATCTGTAAAATGAGGTGACGAAGAACATAACTGCTATAAAGCCAAACTGAGAGGCATTCACAAAATAATTCTTCAACGTCAGGATGAAAGGGGAATAAAACCTAATAGGATTGTTGCAGTGTTGGTTTCTTTCCCAATTTTGATAAAGGTCTTTTAGTAAGGGAATGTCTTTGCCTTTAGAAGATAAATGCTTTTTGCTTTTTACAAAGAGCTCAGGAAAGAAATATATGGAGAGATGAAGATAAAGGGCAGAGAGAAAAAGGAAAAGAGATAAGGCAAATGTGGTAAAATGTTAGAACTTGGGGAATCTGAAAGAATACAAAGGAAATCTTTTACTATTCTTGTAAATTTTTGAAAGACTAACAGAAATTTTTAATTTTAATAGAAAATTAAAAGACGTATGATTACTGAGTGAGAAGTCTTCAGCCCCTATCTTCGGTAAAGGGATAAAGGAAAATAAGCTGAATTAGTCTAGTGCTTTTGTTATTCTCACCCAAATGACATTATTGATTAGTATAGGAGCACCTGGAGAGGGATTCAGGTGTCACAACCAACCCAATATAGAAGCACAATAATAACTGTGATTAACACAATGATATTAAATAAGATATTGAGTTATTAAAAGGTACTAAAAGTACAAATGGACTTAATGAGCCAAGTGTAGGTATTTTCTGGGTTCGTAAGTCAGATGGTCTTAAACTTGACGCTGGAAATACAGTAAGGCTAATGTTTCACTATTCCATTATGAGAAAGCACAAATAAAAATTGAACAGATTTTCAGCAGAGATACTAATCATTAAACAAAAGAAAAAACTTTCTGTAAGATTTTCTTCTCATCTGTTTAACGCAGTAAACAAGAAGTTTGTATGCAGTAAGCCAGGAGTTGGTTGAACAGTTTAGCAAGTTCTATTTAGTCATATCCTCAAGATTTCTGTATTGCAGTATGTACAGTTTCACTATTTCCATTGCTTTTCGGTTTTAAAAGGCTCACTGACATGCAGTTCTGTCAGACATGGAAGACATTTTTCCTGCACTAAGTTCTGATGTTGTAATGGAGGCCAGTGAGAAAAATAGGACCACGCATGTACTCTGCTCCACAAAGGGCACCGGTGTTAGGTATGACTAGTACTCCAAAGCATTTAGAATGGCTTTAGGGAGAACATAGCAGCCAGCAGAGCACGTTAGTACCTTTATGCTCAGCCTGTACTTCTTATCCATTGCTGGACTTGGGTGCGTGGGTATCTACGTTTTGGAGGACCCATGACTGAAGAAGCCTCAAAGAGATGCTTTCAACAAAGAGAGCAGGACAAAGATGAAAATGATGTAAGGAGCTTATAGTGATCTTTCAGACTAGTTTGAATTGTTTCTAGTAATTGTAATGAAGTGGTTAAGACAAACTGAATCTACAGAGACAGAGAAATAGCTTACTGCACACGGTGGGGCTCTAAAACTTGGCGGTGTGACAATGTGATGGAGCAGGAAGAGCCTGGGCCTGTGAGTTACCACTTTCCTGGGTGCAGTGTGCAAGTACTGCCTATTCAAACCATGATCACAACATGGGGCTGGTTCCACTTGTCTCACCATAAACAAGCAAGCAGCAAGAGTAGCAGCAGTGTACTATGAGGAAGTCAAGAAATGCCATTCATTTATTCAACAATTATTTATTAACTATTACGACCCGGCACTATTCTGGGAAATAGACCCTGTCCCTGCCCTCAAGGGGCTTACACGCTAGCTCAAGAAGACAGCATTTAGTAACATATAAGAGCGATGCCAAAGGTATACTAGGAAGTTAAGGGGGGGGGGGGTGGAGAGGCCGAAGAGGTGTATCTAAGCAATCTCTGGGCGGGCACTAGAAAGGAAGGCACTGAAAAAAGACAGGCCAGAGTTGGCATAAACAAGAAGTTAAGTGGGAGCACGTCAGAGGCAAAGGGAACATCACAAGCAGCGAAGCAAGTCCAGGGATAGCATTTTCTGGGAATGAGAAGCACCCTTCCCTTGCCTGCCAAAGAGAGATGAGAAACATCATCGCATGTCGCTTTTCAAGATCCGGGACAGCAACTCTGCCCAGCGAGCGGCTGTGTCGCCATTCCAGGGTGATTTCTTTTCTAAGCGGCCTTCCGTTGCACCCCTGGACCTACAGCCCTCTCGAGCCGGGCCAGGTGCGCTTCCGTACGGCGGAGCTGCCGGCAGGTGTGCTTCCCTCCTCAGGCTGGCTGGCTCTCGGGGCGCAGCCAGAGCTCGGGCAGGAGAGGAAACACCCAGCACAGCCGCGGGGCGGGTGCGGAGCCGCCGCCAGCCGTGCCCAGGTCCAGGTGGCGCCGGGAGGTCTGTCCGACTGCGGGCACAGCGCGGCTCCGGATGCAAAGCCGACAGAAGACGGCCCCTGCCCGCCGCCCGGGCCTGCGGGGGCCGCGGGGCGCAGGGTCGGGCCTGCGGCGGGGGCCGCGGGGGGCAGCGGCCGCCGACGAGGCGCTCTAGGACGGGTCCCGGCTCGGCGGCGGCCTGGGGGTCCCGGCTTCGGAGTCGCGCAGGAGCCCGGAGGGCCGCAGAGCCCACTCACCGCTGCTGCTGGTGAAGTAGAACACCATGATCCCGGCGGCGGCGCGCGGCGGCTGCTCCACACGCCCAGGCTCCGGACTCCTCACGCACGGAGGCCGCCGCGGGCCGGGGCTCCTCCCACACTTCCGGCCCCGACCGGAAGTCCCGCCCACTTCCGGCGGACGTCATAACCCGGCTCCGTCGGCGCCATTTTTGATCCTGGGGCGGAGGGGGCGGGGCGGGGCGGGGTCAAGGATTTGGGGAGACGGAAAGATGGCTTGGAGCTAGGCCGCTTGGTGGTGGGAAAACAGCGGGGAAACTCCCTCAGGAAATAAAAATGTCGCTTTTCAAGATCCGGGCAGATGCTGGCGGATTAGAGTCAGGAGCCCCGCTCAGTGGGCGGTCATGGCTTGAGGCTTCACCCCCAGTGATGCTCCTGGGGGCGGAAAGCTCTGGACTTTTTGCAGCCAGGCGGTCCTCGTCCTTGGCACTTGTTAGGAGCTCATTTCATTTATAAAGAATCCAAATTCCTTCACTATTCTCATTCTAGTCCCGAGCCGGAAAGGCGCCTGTTGGGCTCATTCTGGACTTCACTTTCTTCATCTGCAAAGTGAGGGTGATTAGAGCTGCTAATTAGGTTGTTTTGCTAGGCTCAAGGAAGTTTCTAGGGTTTAGAATAGTCAGCACTTGAGAGAAGTGAGTTGTTGGGGATAATCCCCAGAGGTATGCCTCGAGCAGTTTGGAGGGGGGTCTCGGTCTTCGAGTCCAATGTTTGCCATCCCTTATCTAGGAGATTGGGCAAATTCCAAACTTCCAAATATGAGAACCGTTACCACTGTGAAGTGAAAATTAACCATATGGTTGTGAAACTCCCATGGCTCTTAGCCTTGTTTCTTTTCATTTGAAACTGTTATATTGATGGAAGCTAAAAGTAAAAAATTTAGGATGGAGGCCTCATAAGACTAGAAACTGGAAATGGGGGTAAAAATAATTAACATAGTCATTAAATCAGCAATAGAAATGAAAAACCCTTAGGCCCCCAACTGCCAGTGCAGTATCAGACTGCTATAGAAAGTATCCAGAGGTGGGGGTATGGAGATTAAGGGCTATTATGAAGACTTTCTGGTCTTTATAAGCCAACCTAGTCACACCCTGCAAGTAATTAATTTAACAATAGATAACAATTCTACAATGGAATGAACCCCTCCCCAAAGAGAAGAAAAGTATACCAATATCTGCTCTAGCAAAATGCACTCTCCTCCCCAGACTGCCTACCTATAACTATGAAGGTTTTTTTTTTTTTACAAACTTTTTGCTTTGCAGCTCTTTCTGCCCATTTGTGTCTGTGCAAGCATCCTTTTCTTTCCTTCATTAATATAATAAACCTACCCTTTTGGATATAACTGCAAATGTCTCTGCCTCATGGGGGAATGCCTGTCTGTGCCACTGAAAGAGAAACGGGTAAAACTTCCCTCAGAGGTAACCCAATTGGCCCCGTTCTGTGCATAAAACACGACATCACTAGGAAGTTGACTGCATCAGTTAAGTAAATTTATTTGGAACTAAAAATATGCCAGAGGCTGTACCAGCAGGTGGAGATGAGATCATAGTGTTATAGGACAGGGAGAGGGTCAGCCCAAACCCCGCAAACCTGCCTATTCTACATGGGTTCTGCCATCCGCCGCATCAACACAAAACATATAAGACTTTAATGGGAAGGAACTTTAATAAAACTAGGAAACAATACAGGTAAGGCAAAGAGTCTAGTTTCTAAATGAAGCACCCAAAGTTACCCGTCCCCTCGTGGGTAAAAGTCCATCCAAATGGGATTGGCCCAGAGCAAAGCCCCAAAGCCTACCCCAAGTCGAAAGCACCTTCCAGTGGGGACCCACAGAAAAGGGTCAGAAACAACCAGACAAGCCCGGAAGGAAAAGAGCAAAATCAACATCAAGATAAAAACTGCCATTGTCACCTCCCCATGGGTCTCACCCACATCTGTGTCACCCAGTCTACGACCAAAAGACAAGCGCTGTTTCTTCACGTGTCTCTAGGCTCCATGCGCCTCCTCCAGGTCTCCTGGCTCCATCCTGCTTCCTTCCTCAGTCTCTTGTCCAGCTTCTCCTCTTCCTGCTCAGCTTCACCCTCCCTTGGGTGGGGCAGGGAAGCTCCCCCTTTCCTGGGGACCACCCTGTTACAATCCCCCCTTTTAATTTTTATTCCACCATATCTATGGTGGCACAGATCTCATGGTGTAATTTTAGGAGACAGTCTTTTTTTAGGGTTACAATGTGTGTAAGAGAAGCAACAATTAGTCAGCAGCATTGTCCATGAATGTCCAGTATGACAGTGGGATAGCTAACAGTGAGTGCTTTAGAAACTGCAGACTTCCAAAGCCAGAACCTAGCTATATCCTATAAATTGGAATTGTTGCCAAGCCCTCAATTTTATTCTCTGTAAAATGTGAATGATAAGACCTATCACAAAGGTTGTGGTGCGAAGGCAATGAAATAAAACAAAAACTGAAAGAATTCCTGGCACATAGTGTTACAGGGCAACCCCGATGTGAAATTCCGTGCCCTGTAATAGCAGATATTAGTGCCCTAATTAAATTTTTTAAATTTAATTTTTTTTAATTTTTAAATTTAATTTGAAAAATACAAAATGAGCTAGAAACCCAACATATTACTAGTGAGAAAGTTTAACCACCAATCTTCTTTTTCGTTGTTGCTGTTTTTTTTGTTTTTTATATTTTTTTCTTTTTTTAATCACCAATCTTCTAATATGAAAAATAACTGCTTATTTGGAAAGACCACTTTACAAAAACTTGTAACACCAAGGGTCAAGGTATACCATCTCCAGGGCAACAGCCACTTTTTCTGCCGAAAACTACATTTCCCAGAATGCACCTAACCAAGACCACAAGAATGGAGCCCGGCGCTGCCTCAGGGGATTGTGGGAAGTGTGGTTTCCTCGTGAAGAGACCCTTTGGGCTTCCAAGGGCGGGAGAGTCTTGGAGCCCTAGCCCCGGGTGGGCGGGGCCGCGGTCGGGGAGGGACCAATCACCGCGCCAGACCTTGGGGAGGTGCCGAGAAGCGGCGAATCAGGTCGCAGCGGCCTCCGCCAGGCCTGGCGCGCGAACGTTTGAATACAGTGCAGGAGCGCCTGGCTCGGCGAGCGGAGGCTGCCGGCTCCGGGGCGCGGGTAATTGCCTTTGGGGGGGTCGAGGCGTGGGGTAGGGAAGTGGGGAGTCTGGGGGGGGCCAGGAGGCTGCATGTCCAGGAAAAAGGGGAGAAGCGCTGGGCTCTGGTCGGCGGCTGGGACGGTCCCCTCCGGGCCGGGGGCTCCCTCCTGCCGACCCCCAGATGCCCCGTCTCTGCCCCGGCCTGGGTCGGGGTGGGGGTGCCCCCTCTCCGCTTCCAGCTCCAGCCCGGGCAGGTCGGCCTCCACAGGAGCTCCCTGCCGCCCTGGCCTCTCAGTTCGACCCTTCGGCTTTGAGGTCAGGCCTGTGTGGCTGTGAACGAGGACTGCTCGCCCAAGGGGGGGACGAGCTCGCCACGAGCAGCGCCCCGGGGTGGGGTTCGCTTCCTCGGCCCCGCGCCGCGGTCAGGGGGCGGGCGCCTCGCCCAGAGCCCGGCTCGTGAGACGGGAGAGGGTTGTGCTCTGCCCTTTCCTCACAGGACGTGGGGGCTGGACAGGCTGTTGATGAACCAGTGAGACCCACCACAAGATGGGGTGTGAATCACGTGCGGGGGGGATGGGAGGCCACATGAGAGCTGGGGTAGAGACAGAAAGGTCCGGGGACAGCGACCGCACAGGGACTCACGAGCAAGGGCAGTGACCAGGCAGGCTTCCCAGAAGATGGTGCTCAAACTTGGGAGGAATTCCTCCGGCTTGGGGGTAAGAAAAATTCTTCCTCCTCGGCAGAATCGTTTTCCAGCTTAAAACATGTCCCATTCCCGCTTTTTTTAATTTCTTGTTCTTAATTGCTACTGTGATGGAGTGTGTTCTTTTCTTTTTTTCCTGAATGATTTAACTATTAAAGGGGTGCTTAAAAGCAACGCTTTTCTTGAACTTTTATGGGCCATCATCTATCTGGAAACTTCTTTATTTAGAGTTTTAAAGTATAATTTTGATATAGTGATTTTTACAGTCATTTGGTGAGTTTGGTTATTATAATTTTCCTGTCTCTTTTAGGAGCTCAGTGAAGAAGATGTCAGCTTTCACCCCAAGGAAAAGGAAGCAACGTTCTTTGAACCGCGACAAGTGAGTCTCACCCTAGAGGTGCAAACACTACAAAAAAAAATTAGCTTTCTGGTCTATCCTCTATCTCTTAAATTTCCCATTCTTCTATTCTCATACTCCATATGGTTATAGTGATATTTTATATTCTAATTCTAGACTGTAACAATGTCAGCTTTCATAACTAATTATTTAGAGCCTTTGGAGGCAGAAAAGAGAAATAAAGCTATGTGTTCTCTATGGCTTGGAAATGTATGTCAAATCTTTCATTACCTTGCTCCTTTCCACTCTCCCAGTATTTAACAGTATTTTGCATACAGTAACAATTCTAGAAAGTGTGCACTAAGTACTTAGTCCATGTGATAGAAGAAAGAAATTACTCCCCACAGAACAAGACTCTCAGAGGTCAGTTTATTATATAAAATTAATCATTTAGGTGAGCAAAGTTAAAGTATATGGGTTATAATTTGTGTATGGCTAAGACAAATAGGTTTTAAAACATCTACACACATATATCAGAACTTCTTTGTAAACTGTTTTTACATAGACATTGGGACTCTCACTTCAATATTTGAATGCTTCATTTGGTAAAGACAATTTGAGAATCCTGTTAATAGATAACATGTATGGATATTTGGCTGAGAGGATGTATTGTTTTTGATATGAGTTACTACTTAGGTCTGGTTACTACTTAGCAGTAGGTTGACAGAAAATTGAAGCAAATAATGATACTTATTAATGGACTTTGTTTTTTTTGTATAGCCTGTTACCAGATAGTCCATCGAAGAAATCACTTTTGGACTTGAGTGAAAATACATTTCTATCTACTGAAGAGTACACTAGCCTAAACAGTGATAAAAATGAGGAAAAGGTGCATGGCTCTCAACAAGGTCATTTCATCTCAAGTCCACTCAAAACAACTGAGAAAAACAGATTGCCATCTGCAAACCAAGGCTCACCATTTAAATCTGCTGTGTCTACCGTATCCTTTTACAACAGAGATAAGTGGTACCTCAATCCACTGGAGAGAAAGCTGATAAAAGATTGTAGATCCGCTTCTCTAAAAGCTACTGAAGATACACCTTTACCCAGTGGGACAGAAAATAAGCAGAGAAAACCAGTCTGCTCCAAGAAGATGAACAAAAAAACACAGAAGAGTTTAACTGCCAAGCACCAACAGGGTTATAAATGCATCAAGCCTATCTTGAAGAATTCTAAAAATTCCAAGCAAAGTCGAGTGACCTATAAGCCAGTTGTAGAGAAAGAGAATAACTGTTACTCGACTGAAAATAATCTAAATGCACCTCGAGTTCTAAGCCAAAAAGTCAAACCCCCAGTTACGCTCCAGGGTGGGGCAGCGTTTTTTGTTAGTAGAAAAAAATCCTCTCTTAGAAATTTGTCTCTTGAAAATAAACTATTACTGGAACTCACCCAGAAGAATGTAGCCGAAGATTCTGATGTAGAGACTGTCAACAAAAGAAAAACTTTTGAGACAAAGCAGGTGCCCAAGTGCTTGTCACTAGAACAGGAGCTGAACTTGGAACTGCTGAGTGCAAGCAGTAAAAATGAAGAGAAGTTAATAAAGGTAAAGAAATCATCCATATACATAAACTATATAACATAGTCAAACAAAGTTATTGCTTTTATGAAGCTGAATGGTGTAAGTTAATCCCTATAAAGAATTTAGAGGCAGGGTGTCAAGATGGGACTTTTCTTCCTTGTTTGGCTTCAGAAAACCGACCAACATTTTCTTGCCATTATGGTGTCTATGTCATTAAATTCCCTCATGCATCACTCTTTTCTACCTTATTTCCTTCTCTGAGCTTAGTTTCCAGGGCCTGGATGTTGGGTTCTCAGTTGCTAGTAGTCTGAGAAGCTCAGCTTCTGTGCACCATAAATTTGTTAAATACCCACTGCTAAGATTCATCTTTCCTGAGAGTATTCTGCTCTCATTGGGAGCCACATAAGCTCTCCCCAAGTCATGGTGGAGCCCTGAGAAGTGGCAAATTGCAAGGTGCAATGAGACGATATGGTCTTGAATAGGGGTTCTGCTTAAGTGAAAGATTTCTTCTCTTCCCCAAGCTGTCTGTTGTCTGTCTCATTAATGGTGGAAGTGAAATGTGCCGGGATTTCTTCTGCTTGGCTTTTCCCACTCCCCTGCTACATGGCCCAAAAGTGGGAATTAGAAGCCTCTGTGCAATGTTCTTTTTCTCTCGTTGGCTGCCTGTTTCTAAAAACATGTGACAAAACGGCTGTTCCTTTCTACTTTGGTGGTCGCTGCGGAAGTTTTTGCCTCCCCCCCCCCCCCCATGGGACCCTCGCCTGTGGGCCTCGCAGCCCAGTGCTCAACCACTGCACCACCAGGGGAGGCCCAAGTTTTTGCCATTTTTACTAATTTTGTTAGTTCAGTTCATTATGATAAAAGGGATATTGTGGGATCTTCTTCCTTACTAGGAAATATGCTTTTTTTTTTTTTGGTCAGGGTGACCTTTTTTTTTTTTAATTTGCTTTGTTTACTCATATAAGAACTGGAGCCAGAGTTGTGGGCGATGAGAGAATTCACCAGAGCCAGAGAGGGGAGTAGTTGGGAGACAGGAGAGGTCTGTGCCATGTGGGTCAGCTCCTTAGCAGGATCGAACTCATGCCTCTGTGGCTGGCAATAGCTTGGTAGCACTGACTTTAACCCCTGTGCCACCAGGGAAGCCCTGACAAGGGTGACCTTTTACAGACTTAAATATGTGCACACTATCACTCAAACAGTTATGTGTATTTGGTATAGAGAAAATTTCCTAAAAATAGCCTGAAATTTGAGAATTTACAATCACATTATGAAATGTAGTCCACAATGAACAATGTATTTTGCCTTAGAAAAAAGATCTGTTGGGGCTCATTCACTGAATTTGAAAGTGATTTCCTTTCATTTTACTCGTTATTTTCAGAACTCATTAGCTGGAGTACTTCCTTCAAAAGAATGCAAACCTGAGGAAAGTAAGCATTTTTCTTCAGAGGATTCCGTCAGTGGCAATAAGGCAGGTAAGTAATCGAAAATTTCTCAAAGCAAGTTTATTATAGGGCTTCATTCATGTGTCAATGTGAAATTATATATACGATATTTTGGCTCTTTTTTTTTTTTAATTCAGTATTTGTACCTGTGTTTGTACCTGTGTTTCTCTCAGTGGCACTTTTCTGTGGTAAGCACTGCAGCGCATTTTGAAAGGGAGACCTTAGGCTGGAATTGAAGCAAAATACTGACGCTTCATGGCCTGGGTAGTGGCCGAGTTCTTTAAGCTCCCTAGAACTAGGTATTCTATAAAATCATCCCTACCGTACTTTTACCCCAAATAATAGGAAGATGTAGACACAATTTATTTTGTATCAAAGCCTACTAGTGAGCAGAATTGGCTGAGCCATAGAAAGGACACTGACTTGGGCATCAGGAAACTTGGGGGTTCTTCTCTAGGTCTCCCACTAACTAGCCATGTCATCTGGGGGAAGGGATCCCTAAAGGAAAGGGTTAGTTTAACTTTTAGATTCCTCTTCATCCTGAAATCCTATGGCTAATGGGTTCCTGTCACACGACATTCTCGGCACCATTGTTACTGTTAGTTTTTTAGTGTTGGCCATTCTGTTAGGTGTGAGCTGGTAGCTATGCCTGCAACTTGGCATTTCCCTAATGCCAGGTGATGCCAAGCATCTTGTCATGTGTTTATTTACCATGTGTATGTCTTTGGTGAAGTGCTGTTCAGCTCTTTGCCCATCTTTAATTGTTAGACTTAGGGGCCTCCCCGGTGGCGCAGCGGTTGAGCACTGGGTTGCGAAGCTGCCCGCGACCTCGGAGGCGCTGGTTCGATCCCCAGCTGCTCCCCGGCCACCAGAGGAGGGTCCCACATGGCGCGCAGACCTCCTGCCGCCCGCTGCTCCCCTCAGCAGTGTACTTCGGTCCTTCTGCCTGCTCTGCTCCCCGCTCTGGCTCTGGTGAATTCTCTCACCCTCCCGTGCTTCTGACTGTACCCAGTGCATGTATAAACAAAACAAAACAAACAAATAAATAAATAAAACATGCCTCTGTATAAAAAAAAAAAAAATTGTTAGACTTAAAGGTTCTTTGCATTATCTAGGTGCAAACTGTTGAACTGTGATTGCAAATATTTGCTCCCAGTCTATGGCTTGTCCTTTTATTTCTCTTTTTGCAGAACTGAAAGTTTGAACTTGATAAAGTCTAATTTGAGTACATTTTTCTTTCCTGTGTTGTGCTTTGGGTGTGAAGTGTAAAAGCTAATCACCAAACCCAAGCTTGTGTGGATTTTTCTCTTAAATTTTCTCCTGGAAGTTTTAGAGTTTTATGTAAGATGTTGACTATGTGTCCTTTGCCTCTCTGCATTGAGTCACCTTTGCCTCTGTGAAAAATCAGGTGACTGTATTGCATGGATCTGTTTCTGGGCCCTGTTCTGTCCTGTCTATCCTTTTGTCAATATCATACTGTCTTGATTACTGGTAAGTCTTAAAATCAAATAATGTTAGTATTTTTGCCTTATTGACCTTTAAAATCTAAGTTTAATCTGGAATTTATTTTATGATGTAAATCATCATTATTTCCCCTACCAGCTTCTGCTGAGTCCCTTGTCTACCCCATCTTCAGCGTGTCTTCAACCAATACAAAAAGGTAGGAGTTGATCTTACTTTAATGTTCTAGGTTTTCTTAATTATGTGAGCCCTTTGGGACTCTTTATTAGCATCTACTCATTGTCTGACACTGCAGGGATTTCTTCATACCATGTGGTAACTATTGTCCTGAGGTTTGATAAAGAAAAAAATTCAATTTTTAAGGGTGAAGGTGAAGTCAACTTGAGAAATCATGCGTGTTTGTATGTTATAGAAGTGACAGTCCCTTAGACTTGGAGTCAGAAGGGCAGGATTTGAGCCTCACCACTCTGTTCTGTACTCTTTACTTTGCTTAAGTACATACTGATCTCTTTGAAGTAGCCTCAGCTTTTTCATTGTTGCCACCTGTTACTTCAAATCATTATGGACAGAAAGCCCTAAAATTGCAAGGCGCTCTGTGGATGTTCTGTATGTATCTCTGTTTGTATTGTGATTCCCCCAATATTTAAAAATTGTTAAATGATGTTAAACAACTTTCTATTTCAAGATCTCTAGTCGAAGAACAGTCTTCTGTGGGGTCCATTGTACCCACCAACGTCTTGAAACAGATCAATACCCAGAAAAGTTCTAATGCCAGAGATACAAGTAAAGAAACAAAAGACCAGCTTGTCATTGTGAGTAACCGCCTCCCTTCCCCGGTTCTCACATGTAGGCCGTGAAGTCATTCCCCTTACCTGAGCATAGTTAAAGTGGGTTGTGGCTATATTCTGGCTTTTGCAGAAGCCAGCTTTGTTGTAGTGGCACCATTTAAAGCTAATCAAGCAGTGCTGGTCAATGGTAAAAACTTCGTAGAATACTCATAAATGAATTGTTGACGATCATTTGAAGATTAATGAGAATAGCCATATTGTATTAGACCTGAATTTGCCAAAATACAACCACAGACCAAACATGAGCTGAAAATGGTTTTTACATTTTTAAAGAGTTGCAAAAGATAATGTGACCTGCAGAGTCTAAAATATTTACTGTCTGGTCCGTTGCAGAACATGTTTGCCCACCTGTATGTTGGACAATTCAGAACCTGGTCTTTCCAGGGGCATTAAGCAATGGCCTCTAAGAGAGAGCAGAGTTACAAGCCATAACATTGAATATTCCTGAGTTCCATGGATTCCTGAATTCATCTGTGGATTTATTGAATCTTTGTTCTGTATTTTGATCAACTTTTGGGACAGAATTTTAATATTCCTAACCAATTAAAAAATACAAAATTCTTAAGGGTATTTTTGAAATAATACTTAGATCACACATTCAAGAGCTTTGTAAAGAAGTTCAACTGCTCGTCTTAGCTATAATTTTTATGATTTAATTTTATTCCTACTTAAAACCATGTGTCTAGATAAGGAATCTTGATTTTGATAGTACCATCCATTCAATCTATCAATTACTGCGTTTTTTAAATCTCACTCCCTTTTGTTTGGATACCAAGGAGGTTGTGGTAACCAGACTTTCACTTAGTATCTCACTTGTGCCAGCATCAAAGAGAAATGAGAAATTTCAGCGAGTGTGTACATGAACTCAATCTAGAGCTATTTGTGATCTGTTTAGAAAGGTTTTTTTCCTCCCCTGAATCACAGGATGCCGGTCAGAAGTATTTTGGTGCCACTATGTGTAAGTCCTGCGGCATGATCTATACGGCTTCCAACCCCGAGGACGAGCTGCAGCATGTCCAGCATCACCACAGGTTTCTGGAAGGAATCAAGTATACAGTAAGTCCAGAGTCTTTCCACTGTCCTCAGAGTTAGACTGCCTTCAAGGTCATTTCTTTTGCTTAAATATTGGAAGTCTATATATCCATAAATATTTCATCATTTGTTATATCTTTGACCTTAATAGTTGAGAATGACAGTATTGAAAAGCTACTGCTATTTCAAGCTTTCTGATAGAAAAGCAGGGCGGCCCTAGGTTGAGGGGGCACCTTGCATCCTCCCCTCTAGCTTTCTGAGCTGAGCAGTCAAGACACAAAACTCACGGCTTGAGCAGACGCCCCTCTCACTTGGTCTCACCTGTAGAGACGCCCTTCCAACACCAGCCTGTTGTTCCTCCAGATGTTCTTGTTTCCAAGCAGCGAGGTTCCACCTTTCCACTTCAAGCACATCTTGTCATTGGCCTTTGTGAATGTACCTGCTCCTCAGATGCTTCCTTTTCTCTCTCTCTTTTTTCAATTGAGGTAACATTGGTTTACATCATCGTTTGTGTTTAGAGATATAGGACCTCCCCCTCCAGGTGTTGTTACTCCACCACACTCACCACCAAGGCTCCCACAGGCCACGCATTCCTTTCCCACTTTGTTCTCACTCGTGCCAGCATCCTCTAGTAGCTGTCATTGTTCTCTCGTCAGCTCTCCAGAACTTGTTAGTTTGGCTTTATCTGACCTTTGTTTTTCTGTTTCCATATAAGTGACACCATCTGGTATGTGGCTTTCCCCTCTGACCTCTTTCACTTAGCACCTTCTCCAGCTCCGTCCATGTTGTTGCAAATGGCACGTTTATCTTTTTTGATGGCTGAATAGTATTCCATTACAGATATAGACCACATGTTCCCTTTCCGCTCGTCTGAACTGGGGAATAAGCTATTGTCATAGGGGTGCATAGACAGAGGAATCTCTGTCAAACAAGTCTCTTGAGCTCAGTACTGGTGCCCTCTTTTGAGTAAGGTGAGATGCTAAAGTCAAACTGTGCTAAGCTGCTGAAGGAAGAAAGCACATAGCCGTCGGGACCCCTCTTTCCAGTCTAGTAGGCTCTGAGTAAGCCTCCCCCAGACCTGCTTATCCCACTACCTCCCCATCCCTCACAATGCGCTGGACTTTGCCCGGTCTCCTGGGGAGGTGTCAGCCCCATGGGGACAGACAACCTGGTTTTAGGTATCTTTGCTTTAGTTGGATTTCATCCCATCATTTTTATACCATTCATTGTTTAGCTTTTGTCCTCTCCAGAAAAAATTATTTAACGGCTTGTTTTTTGTCTCTTCAGAAATTAATTTGTGATTTATTTTTCCTTTGCAGGGCTGGAAAAAAGAACGTATCGTAGCAGAGTATTGGGATGGGAAAATCGTGCTGGTCCTCCCACGTGATCCAAGTTACACCCTGAGGAAGGTGTGGAGCAGTAGCTTTCTAGTCTTTCTCCCCCTGCTCTCTCCACTCATCCCCTCTAGGAAATCAACTTGTGTGGAAGTATAAAATGCCTATAGAAAAACCCATTTTAGAGCCTCCCCGGTGGCACAGTGGTTGAGCGCTGGGTTGCGAAGCTGCCCGCAGCCTCTGCAGCACCAGTTTGATCCCCGGCTGCTCCCCGGCCACTAGAGGAGGGTCGCACATGGCGTGCAGACCTCTCCTGCCGCCCACTGCTCCCCTCAGCAGTGTATTTCGGTCCTTCTGCCTGCTCTGCTTATCTTTTACCTTCACGCACTTGTGGAAGAATCACTAGACTTTCCATTGCTAACGTGGGTGAGCCAGAATCTGTTTCTGATGCTGTTGTGACTTGTGTCTTGGGCAGGATGTGTAGCCACTGTGAACAATAAAGAAAGCAGAAACAAAATCTGTTTTGACACTTACTCCTTATGTCTCCCAAGAACCTGAATTTCTTTCTGCTGAAAGTGATCTTTAAATTGGGTACTTAAAACCCTGTTTTCCAAAAGGACAGATATATGCAACATGGTGAAATAATGGAGGGGCATAATTTTAGGAAAGAGATAAAGGAAGTTAAATGATAGTAATAAATTTTTTGTGTATTGATTCATTTTTTTTATGATGCTTTTTATAACAAGTTCACCTCTTGGTTTTTAACATCATTAGGTAGAAGATGTGCAAGAACTTGTCGATACTGAATTGGGTTTCCATCAAGTTGTTCCCAGATATCCAAACAAAACCAAGACTTTTCTCTTTATATCTGATGAAAAGAAAGTCGTTGGCTGTTTAATTGCAGAGCCCATCAAGCAGGTATGGCCCATGTTTTTTTTTAGTTATTGGTATATTTACAAGCAAAAGTAGTTGGGAAAAGTCTCGGTAAGTATTTAAGATTACTACTGTTAATTTTTTTTCCTATTAAAATATCCTTGACTTTGGATAAGTGAAATTACTTATTTCTCTTATATTTGTTTTCCTGGCATCGTATATGCAGGAGAAGTCAGTGTTTAATTCATATTCTCTCCATATCTAGACTGTATGGTGATTTTAAATAAGCAAATTTAAGAGCCCTTTTATTGAGCATATGGCTAAACACAGGTTAATGTATTTGGCAAATTAATTGTTACTTGTCCCTTAATTAGAATCTACTTTTTGCTTTTGAAATGCTTAAGAGGGTAATCTCTTTTAAGTATTGCTTCTTTAGCTAGAAAGAATTACTGTTCAATTATGTTCTTACCAAATCTATAATATCCCACATTTATGTCTCCTTTAAAATATATGTATTTATCTGCCTAATACATCTGGAAATGATGTTAATAGCATAAATTTATCTTATACCTTTTTGAAAATGCCTCCCCCCCATTTCTTTATTTTCCTGATTTTTTTTATCATATATGTACACACATATATTTTATCTTGTGTTATCAGATATCAGAGAGAAAAAAAACTGTATTGTCAGTAAAAGAGGCCAGTTTGACCTTTATTTGTTCTTTTTTTTTTTTTTTAAGATTTATTTATGCATGCCAGAGATGAGGGGGGTGCTGAAAGGATTCACCAGAGACAGAGTGGGGAGCAGAACAGGCAGATCTACTGAAATCCACTGCTGAGGGGAGCAGTGGGGGATACAGGAGAGGTCTGCTGCGCCATGTGGGTCAGCTCTCTGGGTGGGTGGCGATAGCTTCCAATGCTGAGACTTAACTCCTTGCACCACCAAGGAGGCCTACCTTTATTTGTTCTTCAAGTATATTATTTATGTAGTAATAATAACAAAATATAGCCAAACCAACTTATGCCTATTCTATTCTTAGCTCAGAACCAAAGGTTTCTTGATGATAGTTAAAATAGCTACAGTGAAGAACAGTGACTGCAGCAAATGCTGGCAAAGACACAGGGACCTGGGGGAATGTAAAATGTTAAAGACACTCCAGGGAAAAATTTGGCAGTTTCTTCATAAATTAATCATACAAGAAAGCCTCAAAATAAGGGAATTATGGAGATAGGGAACAAATTGTGTTTGCCTGGGGGTGAGGGAGGGGAAAGGTGGGTATGGTTATAAAGAGATAACAACAGGAAGGAGACTTGGTAGCTTTGTTCTGGCTGTGGTCAGGGTTGAACGCACATGTGTGATGAATCGTCATGGAACTTGCACCCAGGTGCCCAGGAATTACTTGGTTTGGGTGATGTACTATTGCTGAGGAAGTTTAACCATTGGGGGAAGCGGAGTGAAGGGTACATGGTCCTCTGTACTGTTTTCAACTTCCTCCAGCCAAAAGTTAAAAAAGGAACTTAAATGCCAACCAAATTTCATAGCTTATATGCAAAAATCTTCTTGAATGTAACCAAGTTTGTAGGTTATCATGTGCATTTTAGATGGAGAAAATGGAAGTTTGTGTACTTTACTCAAAGTCAGTCTAATTTATCCAGTTTTTTATAATCAATATAAGAAGCTTCATAATGATATGGGGGGCCCTGGAATAAGGGGATGTCAGCACCACCTTTGTTTTTTAAATATTATGACTATAAATGGGCAAAAATTCAAGAAAAATCAAAGAATTTTAACAATTTTGTGAAGATACAGTACGATTACTTTTAGATGCTTAAGTTTTTGTATATCATTGCAGGCCTTCCGTGTCCTGTCTGAACCAACTGACCCAGGATCCACTAACTCAAAAGAATGTCACAGGGCTTGGCAATGTTCAAATGTGCCAGAACCTGCAGTCTGTGGGATAAGTAGAATCTGGGTGTTCAGACTGAAGAGAAGAAAGCGCATTGCAAGACGACTGGTAGATACCCTCAGGTAAGATATAAAATAGAGTAAAAGGGATCTACACCCAGAATAGCATTTCCAGAACCTCTCCTGGCTCATGAGCCAAAGGGAATAATGTTGGTTAAGATAATTCTGTATAAATTCTCTAAATCAAAGTGAAGCTAAGACAAGTGTTGCCATTGAAAAAAATTGATGGTGGCCCTCCCCTGGTGGTACAGCGGTTGAGCACTGGGCTGTGGGACCCCGCAGCTTCTGCAGCGCCAGTTCGTTCCCCGTCCGCCGGCGTCAGATATTAGTGACTTCAGTAGCCACACTAGAGCTCATATCCATTGCTTCTTACTGTGGACCACTGGGAGTCGGCTGATGGTCTGTACGGTTCCTTTTTTCTTCCAGCAGGATTTTTTCTGGACTTAGGTTTTCTCATATATGATGTCATCATTTGACTTCCATCCCTAAATCTAAGGCATTGAGCCATTTTATCATTTAATTAAAACAATGTTGATTTAAGTGTATTTAAAGAGATTGAAATCTTAAAATAAATTCTAACGCTTAATCTGAATTTTGGTTCCATTGTTAAACCATCTTTTCCTCTTTTTTTTAGGAATTGCTTCATGTTTGGCTGTTTTCTCAGCACGAATGAAATAGCATTTTCTGACCCAACACCAGATGGCAAATTATTTGCAACCAAGTACTGCAACACCCCTAATTTCCTTGTGTACAATTTCAGTAGTTAAAGCCGATTTCACTGTTAACACAGTTACTGTGTGGAGTTGACAGCCCCGTAGCACATAATACAAACTAACACATATGAAATAAAAGACAAAAGATAAGCGGACACACACCCACACACAAACCTGCCTGGTTTTGTTCCTTATGCATTGAAAAGTCAGGGATAAGTTTGTTAACTGGGCATTTGAAGAAAGGAAAAATCTTTGAATCATATACACTGACTAGCACTTTGAAACCTTAATTGTGAAGCTTTGTAGCCACGACTGGAAAATGACTTTGCCTCCTGCTTGAGACATGATAAACCAAGTGCTTCTCCCCAGAAACAGCCTCACCCCTCTTTAGTAAAGTACACTTTAGGGTGAGGGTTATCTCGTGCACAGGCAGTGAGAAGCAGACAGGCAAAATTTCTATGCCCAAATTTTAAAGATAATTCCTAAATTTTAAACACAAAATTCTCATAGGTACTTGGCTGAGCAAGTTAATTTGATTATCTTTAGAAAGTGTTTTCAAATTCTAATTTATAACAGGAAAAGATGGTAAAGAATGTGTAAACTTTCCACATCCTTTTATGTAGAAGCAGAAGTCTATAACTTCATGTTTTAATTGTCTAAAAACTTTATAATCAAAAGCTTTGCCTGTCATCATATTTAATTAAAATTAATTGCACTACCCTCATTAATTTTTGGTGTTAGATAGGCTAATTGTGCTACATAGAGAACTTATTGCTACAATAACAAAATGAGGGCTGGTTGATTATAGCTTAATTTTTCTCCCTATTTGAAAGTACGTCTTATTCTGAGGCATCTGGAAAAGTACTGTCAAAATGTATAATAACAGAACCAAAATTAGTAAATAGATACATCTAAGCTGGTGAGCCAGAGAAAAATTGCCATGTGAGTACACCAACATATATGCTCTCGTTTGGTGTGATTCTTGGAGGGAGGCCGACTTTAAAAGGCACGTTGTGATTGTAAACCATTTCACTAATATCTGGCATTAAGACTCATTAGTTTTCCAGGCTGAAACTAGAATCTGTTCATCCGCGTTCTTTTATTTGCCTGTAGGTTAACACTGTTCCCAAATTTAAAGGCTTGAGTTCTGAAAAGAACGTGTGGAAGTGTTAAAATATGTTTATGCAAACACTTTAATGCTATTTTCTGCACTGTTGTTCCTTAAACATTGTTTTAAATATCTTATTTAAAAATTTTTATTAACATTATTTTGTTTGCTCAATGCTTTTGTGATGGATCAATTAAAATACTTATTAATACTGTCTACTCTCATATAATTAAATGCTGACTTTCTTGTTAATTATGTGGTTATAAAATTGTGGTTATAAAAAATACAGCTTGCTCTTTGAAAAGAAACAATCACCGAAGTTGGGTGGGGTAGCCTCTGTGAAAATGCCCAGCTTGCCTCCTCCACATCTTCACAGCTAAGCTACAACACAACAAAATCAGCAGTACCTGAGATAACTATCACCTGAAGCTGTGATATTTCAAACCCCTGCATTACCTCACCCCAGGGCCAAAACCAAGGCAACTGAATGTGCTCAATTATCAATGCTTATGTGCCTGAAACTTAGTCAACCGGAGCAAGTGCCCGAGTACAAGCAACAGTTCCTGACTCGCGGCCCTCTCTCAACTCCAGTCCTCAACAGCCATTGCTACATCTCGTGCTCAGCCACAGCCTGGAGGCTCAGGATGGGCGGAGCAGGCGATTCCACAAGGTACTTACAGACACCAGAGGATGCTAACGCAAAGGTCAGAGGAGGATAAGGGAAGGTGTTGTGGGAAAAAATAAATTAAAAAAAAACACACACTGACCTTGCAAGAATGCAACTCTCCAGTTCTGCGGGTCCCTGGTCTTTGGCTTCCATCTCTCTCCTCTGCTCTTTCCTTGGCTCCTGAGCCCTAGTCTCCATCAAACTCTAGCAGCTGGATGACTCGGCAGGATCTCTGTGACCCGAGCGGGCGGGGCAAAGGAGTCCTGGACCCCTCAGTGGCTTTTGCAGTCTTTTATTGGGATTTACCAGTGTAGGGTAATTGATTTTCAGGCTTTTCTGCCCTCCCGCCTTTAGGATTGATGATGGATCCTTGTGGTCCCGAATGCATGCCTGATGGCGGCACCTGGGGTAGGTTGTGGGCATGCGTAAGTGGGTACACCTGGGCTAAGGCTGGGCTTATAAGGGCGGTGTCACAGGGATACCAGGAGAACCATGAGCAGAGCGAAAAAAGAACCACAGGAGAAGCAGAGACCACCAGAGAAGGCCGGAGAGCCCAGACAGAGTGAAGACTTGCTGGGGGCTGGGAGGCCTGCCAGCCTCCCGGCTCCCCAGCACCCCTGCCTGCTGTGTACCTGGCAAATCCCAATAAAAGCCTGCAAAAGCCATCAAGGGCTCCAGGACTCCTTACCCTGTCTGCTCTGGTCATAGAGATCCTGCCCTGTGGCCATTCCTACCACTACAACCAGGTCCACAACAGGCTGGGGGGCCGGGGGGGCCAGGAGGCTGGCGGGCCTCCTAGCCCCTGGCGAATCTTCACAGCCCAGGTGAATCCCATTTACGTATGCCCACACCCCACTCCTAATGGCGGGAGGGCAGAAAAGCCTGACACTTTACTTACCCTACAATGCTCAGTGCTTGAACTTGACATTTGAGATGTCACCCCAGGTAAGCAAAACACACCCCTGAACATTGAGTTGTGTCGGGACTACTGATCACGGACACACCAGGAGGAGAAATGGTTTATTCCTCACTCTGAGGCTTTGTGGAGGGCAGGGGTCTCCTGGGCTAAAATGGTCTACAAGGAAGAGGGTCTTATATATCTGTGCCGGGGAGGGGATCGAAAACCACAGAAAGGACCTTCCGCGAGACCTTCCCCTAAGCCCAGTGAAGGAGGTTCAGATGAGCCTAACAATTTGCTCAGATGGAGATAGAGACCGGCAGGGTGAAGGAAAAACACCAGATATCAAAAATGTATTCAGATTGTATTTCTACAACGTATTTATGGAATACATTGGTCCTAAATAAATAGAACAAAAACAGAAGTTTTTAGGGGTTCAGCATTCGGTGACTAGAGTCATGGAGAATGATAAAGAATAAGGTTCAACAGAGAAATAGGGCACAAGCCTGTCTGTGAACGTGTCCCTCAGGATACACAGATGGGATCTGGTACTCAAATTGTAAAAGGAAATCTCTCCCAGCTCGTAGTCCAGGAAAACGCCAACTCGAATGCGCACTATGCGGGGATTGAGGTGTGTCCTAGTGGACCGCTGAAACTGCCAGCAGCCATTGCAGGGGGAGGGAGGTGCCAGGGCATCCCTGGGGAAAGATTCCTTGCACACACCCAGGGACCACACACCCGCGCCTCGGATGTCCACCTGCCAAAAGTGCCTGCCGGCCTCGAACCCCTGAGCGCTCAGGACAGCCTCGTGGGAGGTAAACGCCTTGGGATGAGCAACGTCGATCGGTGCCACCCTTTTGTGGGTAAAGATGGCGGATTTCCTGTCTGGTGAGATAATGAGATTGCGGTGCGCGGTCTCGGGGTCTAGAGTCAAATCCACCTGAAACTTGTCCAGGATGGTTTTCAGACCAACATATTGCAGGGACAGATTGCAAGTCTCCTCCAGGAACTGATATTGATAGGTTGCTGGGACCTCTAGCTTAAAACACCTGTTCCATTCATGCTGGATGTTTGCAGTCCCCGTCAGTAACCCCAGGTCTGTCTGCACACACTGGGCGGTGACTGCACTGAGCAGACTCTTGAGTGTGGCGCCATAGTCTGACATCTGGTTTCCACTTTCAGTGACTTTCATGTAAACATGAGACATTTCCATCAGCACCCGGGTATCAGTGGCATCCCTCTCCTTATCCAGGTAACTCTTACAGTGTGCGAATTCAAAGTACAACTCACTCCTTCGAGCTTCCACCGTCTCTCTCAGTTCCTGCGTTTTGGAGACCTGCGTGGCTAAGCCCCTCTCAGCATCTTCCACCTGCTTCCTGAGGGGCTCCAGGGAGCTCTTGAGCTTCTCCCTGTGCTGAGCAGCAGCTTGCTCCAGGGGTACCAGGGGGTGGCCCCGGTGGGGGGAGGAGGCCCCACACTGGGCACACAGCAGCTCCAGGTCCTCCTCACAGAACAGGGCCAGGGCCTGGTGGTGCTGGGCACACAGGGCCTCTTCCTCCTGCCTCTTCCTCTTGTTCCTGGCGGGGGGCAGCTGCCTCAGGAGGTCCGTCAGGGCACACAGCTGGGGGTTCCTGAGGACGTCCCTGGAGGGGCAGTGGTGCTGGCAGACGGGGCAGGGGAGGACATCCTGGAGGCCTTGCCAGCGCTGGCGGAGGCAGGGCCCACAGCAGTTGTGGCCGCAGTCCAGGGTCACCGGGTCTCGCAGGGGGTCCAGGCACACGGGGCAGCTGGCCTCTGCCTGCAGCTCAGCCAGGGAGGCGGCCAGGTCCATGGTGCTGGGGGCGTCTGTCTGAGGAGCTGCCTGAGGAAGGCCTGGCTCTGCAGGAGCGGGAGGAGAGGCGAGGCCTGGCAGCATTCTGTCTGCTGCTCACAGGCTCCCAGGAGGGTCCAGGGGCTGCAGGAGTGTGGCCGCTCAAGCTGCTGCTGCTCCTTCCAGTGATTATAGCCCCAACTCCCTCTGTGACCTCACTCAGTGGCCTGATGGAAGCTTCTATGTGGTCCTCTTCTTAGGAAAAAGTCCAGCACAAGTGTGAGTGATTTACACAGAGTAGGGAAACAGATGGAAAATGCAGCCGGCAGACAAGTGGATGGAAGATGTTCCAAGTTCCTGCAAGAAAACAAGGAGAGCGGGTGAAGAACAGACACATTAGAGAAGATAATGGACGCCCCTGACAGTACTTTTTCAGGGTTCTGTTCTACCTGCAAATACACAAGTCTCCCCAGAAAGATAACCGTAGCCTGCGGGGCGGCGGTGGATGAACTCAAAGGCTCGGCGTCAGGAGGTTCCCCTGGGAAAGATGCACAGTGGGGCATCTGCACCACACCCCGTGGTGGGGCTTGTGTCCAGGACGAGCGAGCAAGAGTGGGGCCTGACTCCCTGGGTGCGCACACGGGGTGCTGCTGGCCAAGTAATGGAAACACAGGTTAATAACAGGGTGATGCCTAGGGGGAGGCGCATCGCTGGTTTTTTGGTGTTTTTTTTTTTAAATCCCTGTTGGTTTTAAGGGGCAACAATGGTGTTACAGTTTCATTTAACAATCACCGTTTAGGAGACACAAAAAACCCACAGCTGTGGTCAGTCCTCCCCCTGCTGACTCCTGAACACACTATGCCCTACTCTGCCCCCCAGAAAATCTCCTAATTACTCCATAGGGCACCTCTGTGTCTCTGAAACAGGGGCACACAGGGCAGAGAGCAAGCAGGCAGGAGGCCGACAGAAGGATGGAGCAGCCGCCCACCTACCTAGGCTCTGGACCAGAGAGCTGCCAGCAAGCCCCGAAAGGCCAAAAACTAAAACCAAGGGCTACGGCAGGACAACACCCACACAACAGGGGCCTGTGGGCTACAGCCTAACAAGGACGGAGCTGAAGAGAGGACAGGTCACCGTCTGTGGGCCTCACCCACACACACAATTGCAAGAGACCTCAGGCTCCAGGAACATCAACCACGGGGTTTATTTTACACACGGGAAACAAAGCTCACTGTACCCACAAGTGGTGACCGCCTCACCCAGGGAGTGTCCGGGATGGTGGCCACTGGTCACCAGGAGTGCTGGACAGCACTGGCCAGGAGGGATGGCCACTACTGTCCCGCAGATGGGGTGTCAGAGACACCCAGTGTTCACAGCTTTGTGAGTTGTTGGCCCACACCAATAACAAAAACACCACCTGGTGTCTTTGAGACACCAGGCCTGGGGCCTTTGGTGCTCCTCTCAGGCCATGGCAGAGACAGGACGGGAGGCCCAGTCTCTGCAAAGGTCGTCAGCTTCTCTTCCCTCCTGGAGGTCGGCTGCTGGATGCTTCTTTACTTCTTCGGAGGCCAGGAACGAAGCCTTCCCCCTGTGTCTTCTTCCTTTGGAGGCTGGAGCTGTCTAGCTCCCTTCAGGGGCTGGTGTAGCCCCTCAGCTCCTTCCAACCCCTCCTTATATCCCTTCAGGGTGCCCCACCCACAAGTCTCATTGGACCATTAAGCAACAATCAGCTCCTAGCTCACACCTGATTGGTCCATTCCACAATCCAAGCCGTGCACTGTTGCATGTCAGTGGTGGTGCAGTGGCCTCAAGGGACAAGAAGGCAGCTAGCTGCTGGGCTCTGAGGAGCAACTGCCACGACTGACTTGTGGAGGAGGAGGGTCAAGGAGCACCACTGCTCCTGCCGCTTCCCTGCTGAGGCCACTGGGTTCTGGTAACACAGAGGGCAGCTCCTGCATCTCTAAGGCCTCCCGGGCCCTCCAGCCACACTGGTTCCCCATCCCTGCCTCACCCTGTGGGTGGGCATCCCATCAGATCTCCCTCCCCATTGGTGCTACTTGGTGGCTCACCTGGGTTTGCTCCTGAGCTCAGTGTTCAACTTGGGGCTGGGCTGGGCTGGGTGCTGGGGTGCTGTCAGGGTTCCCAAGGCTAGGGTGTTATGGGCTCCTCCTAGCACATAGCCTGGTCTCCAGGTTCCAGAACAAAGACAGAGTAGGTCTGCTCTCTGCGGACTGTTCTGTGCAGAATGTGAGGGGCTCAGCTTTATATACCCTGTAGGGTGTGTCCTTTACTCTGTAGGGTGTGTCCTCCCCCATTGGTTAGAATCCAAATCCCATCAGTTTCCTGGGGAATTTTTGGCCGCAGGGCACTACCCATCATCCTCTCTGATGCATCTTCCTGCAGGGTGTGGTCACTCTCTCCTGTCCCCCGCCCCGCCCCCTTCTCACCCTGCACTGGGTCTCCTCTCTCTGTGCTCAGCAGTGATCTGGTTTCTGGCCACTGGGTAATGAAATGGCCTCGTGTTCATCACGATGAAATGGCAGGACAGCCCTGACCTGAAGCTGTTGTTTTAATACCTCCTGACCCTTCAAGCAGGGGTGTCCAGCATGTGTGTGTGTGTGTGTGTGTGTGTGAGTGTGTGTGTGTGAGTGTGTGTGTCCACTGTCTGATTCACAAGGTCATCTTGACCTCTCCGTCCCCTCAGGCTGGTGGAAACCAGCTCTGATATCTTGGGGTGGATTCATCGGAGCACCTTCTGCGTGGAAAGTTCTACTTCAAAGTATTTAACCTACATTAAATAAAGAAGCAAATCCAAAATATGTGAAGGTTCAAGAACTGGCCTGGGTCTTCAGTGTTCTGAAAGTAAAAAAATAAAAGATTCAAGAATGTGGGACCAAATGGAGAAGTGAACACAGCAGCTTAATAAAGACATTTTCCTCCTTAATTAATATAATTACTCCATGATTTCACTTGACCCTTCCTCATTTTTAAGACATGAAAGTTTAGTATTTAGTATTTAGCAGTGGCTGGCGTGTGCTATGAGCTGCTGGGCTGCCCACCAGTGCCCGCTGCAGTGGGAACAGAACCAAGGTGGAGGCGTTAGCATGCAGTTTTGCAAAGACTGGGAAACTCCAGTTGCCTTGGATTAAGGTCCAAAGACTTGTGACAGAGCCAGAGGAAGATGCCACAAAATAGATTTCTGGGAAAGTAAGTAAAAATTTTAAGCAATTACCTGTAAATTGTAGTAGAAAATGTCCTCTCTTTCCCCTTGCTGGGACCATTATAGCCCATCAGAGACAGTAACACTCCCTTCAGGGACAATCCCTCATCAGGGACATTTATACCCCATAGAGACAGTTGCACCCCATCAGGAGAGCTGCACCCCATCAGGAGAGTTACACCTCAGCGGGAGGCCTGGGTCATTCCCCCAGGTCTGCTCAGTTCCAATCACATGTGCGTCGTTCACAGAGTCCTGGACAGGGGCTGGAGGGCAGATCACAGAACCCCACGTGCTGAAGCAAAATCTCACTGTGTGATGGACGGGACACCCTGACATGTTCTATGCAGGCTCCAGGGCCCTCCTTCCCACCCAGCAGGGAGCTGTCAGCTGCGCGCCCCTAACCCACTCTCTGCCCTGAAACCAGACCTCCAGCTTCCATCGCGGGCATTATTCACCTGTTCTGGAATCTCACCCCATGTGAGTTCTTGAGCTAGGACCTGAACCAACATCCCATCTGCGGTCCCCACCTGCAGAGAACAGCACCCCAAGAACAGAAAACACAGTGGGAGGACTTATTCATGGGGGTGGCTGTCCGTTCTGGGAATAGGATCGGGTTTTCCTTCAAACAGCTTCACTACAACCTATAGCAATTTTCCAGAAAATGCCAAATAGACTAACTTGTGAAATTTTTAAAAAAGAGAACTATCCATAAACGTGGCATTTCATGTATCAGAGCAGGGACATGAAAAGCAAGGTTCTCTTCACTCCAGCCCAGCAGCTGTCAGGCCGCCTTCAGCTTTCCACCCTGCGGCTCCTGCTCTCTCTAGGAACACTCCAGTCGCTCAAAACATATAAACACAGAAAGTTTTATTTCTAGCTTATTTTATAAAACAAATGTTCTTTCTCTATGTTGGAGATTTTTCTTCTTAGATTTCTGCCTATATAGACGAATTTCTTCTATTGATTTTAAACATTCAGCAGCTCATCGAAGCAGAGAAAATGAGCTGTACTCGTGGGAGTTTTTGAAAATTGGAGAGTGTTACGCTTCCATTTTTTGTTAATATTATGTTACAGGGAATTTGTAAGATTCCCACACCATTCCCAGGAGAAATGGGGAATCACCCTTATGATAATATAGAATTTTCAGCAATAAGGGCTAGAACAGTCTCCTTATCGCATTTGGAGAGTAAATGTATCATGCTGCTGGGATCAGAATGCTCGCGGGGTTCATGGAGACGGTGCATAGTCTGGGCCGCACTCCCTGCCCCCCCACCGCAGGAAACATGCATCCTGCTCAGTTCTCAGGCCTGGTGTCTGGGCTGCTGATGTCACAGACACACGATGGGGGGGTGCGGGGGGCAGTGTAGAAAGTTTCCTTCACTGTGAGGCTTTATTTACAGAGCAGGGGCCACTGGCCTCAAGTGGGTGACAGGGAAGAAGTCACTACATTGGGTAATTTGGAGTGAAGAGTCCTGGGGCCCCCCCCCCTCGCCCCACGCAGCCCATGAAGGCGTGTCAGGATTCCAGAGGGTGACAGAGGGTGAGACCAGGGGCAGGTGGGGAAGAGAAGACACAGCACTCCGACACCAGATGCGGACTCAGACTCTATTTCCAGCACTTCCGTGAACAGAGGGGGAACACGGGCACACACGTGTTTCTAGGGGCTCAGCACACCTGTGTGACCAGAGTCATGGCAAACGGCAAAGGAGACCGTTTAGCAGAGAAATAGGGGATGAGCCTGTCTGTGAAGGTGTCCGTCAGCGTACACAGATGGCATCTGGTACTCAAATTGTAGAAGGAAATCACTCCCAAATCATAGTCCAGGAAAACGCCAACTCGAATGCGAACCATGTGGGAGTGGAGGCGCGTCCCGGTGGGCCGCTGAAACTGCCAGCAGCCATTGCTGGGGGAAGGTGCCAGGGCATCCCTGGGGAAAGATTCCTTGCACACACCCAGGGACCACACACCCGCGCCTCGGATGTCCACCTGCCAAAAGTGCCTGCCGGCCTCGAACCCCTGAGCGCTCAGGACAGCCTCGTGGGAGGTAAAAGCCCTGGGATGAGCAACGTCGTTCGGTGCCACCCTTTCGTAGGTAAAGATGGCGGATTTCCTGTCTGGTGAGATAATGAGGTTGTGGTGCGCGGTCTCGGGGTCTAGAGTCAAATTGGCCTGGAACTTGCGGACGATGGTTTGCAGGCCGAGGTAATGTGTCGGAGGACTGAAACTCTCCTCTTCCAGTGAGAAAGAATAGGCTGTTGGGGGCTCCGGGTGAGCGCGCCTGCTCCGCTGGAGGTGGCTGCTTCTGACCCCCCTCAGTAACCCCAGGTCTGTCTGCACACACTGGGTGCTGATTTCCCAAAGCAGACTCTTGAGTGTGGCGCCGTAGTACAACCATCGTTTTCTGCTTTTAAAAGCTTTTTTGTCAACAGCTGACATTGCTCTCACAACCTGACTCTCAATAGCATGGTGCTCCTTCCCCAGGAATCTCTTAAAATATTCTAATTCAAAGTACAACTCACTCCTGCGAGCTTCCACCTTCTCTCTCAGTTCCCGTGTTTTGGAGACCTGCGTGGCTAAGCCCCTCTCAGCATCTTCCACCTGCTTCCTGAGGGGCTCCAGGGAGCTCTTGAGCTTCTCCCTGTGCTGAGCAGCAGCTTGCTCCAGGGGTACCAGGGGGTGACCCCGGTGGGGGGAGGAGGCCCCACACTGGGCACACAGCAGCTCCAGGTCCTCCTCACAGAACAGGGCCAGGGCCTGGTGGTGCTGGGCACACAGGGCCTCTTCCTCCTGCCTCTTCCTCTTGTTCCTGGCGGGGGGCAGCTGCCTCAGGAGGTCCGTCAGGGCACACAGCTGGGGGTTCCTGTGGGCATCCCCGGAGGGGCAGTGGTGCTGGCAGACGGGGCAGGGGAGGACGTCCTGGAGGCCTTGCCAGCGCTGGTGGAGGCAGGGCCCACAGCAGTTGTGGCCGCAGTCCAGGGTCACCGGGTCTCGCAGGGGGTCCAGGCACACGGGGCAGCTGGCCTCTGCCTGCAGCTCAGCCAGGGAGGCGGCCAGGTCCATGGTGCTGGGGGCGTCTGTCTGAGGAGCCGCCTGAGGAGGGCCTGGCTCTGCAGGAGCAGGAGGAGAGGCGAGGACTGGCAGCCTCCCCTCGGCTGCTCACAGGCTCCCAGGAGGGTCCAGGTGCTGCAGGGAATGCGGCCGCTCAAGCGGCTGCTGCTCCTTCTGTTAGGGGGAAGTGATGTCCTGAGTTAATCCCATACAGGCTTTGTGGACTCCACCCCCACTCCAGACTAAAGCCATCAAAACACTGGGAAAGACAAATCCCATCACCACCAAGGGAGGGTGGCTGGGACCTGAGGGTGGAGTTGGGCAGCCAGGTTGGATATAAAAACCAAACACGTGGGCCTTGGGGTCGCTGTCTGGCGATCGCTCGCCTCCTGGCTTCACCGCTCCTGGCTCGCATCCAGCTCTCAGAGCGCCATTTTGGGATTCCAGATGGGCGGATCGGGTAGGACTTATTTAAAACTTTGTCTCCCACTTTTCTCCCTGAGCTGTACCTTTCCCCATTTCCTCTTCTCTTGTAAATAAATCTTTTATGAACCTTTCGCGTGTGTCTGCAGTAGAGCATTGATAAGTCCTTTTAAGCACGCGGGTGAGGACCCACAGTCAGGCACCCCGTTTTGTTTCGGGGTTGCTTTACAACAGTTTGGCGCCCAGCGTGGTTTCCAAGTTACACCCGCGGTGGACCAGCCCAAAGTAACATTCCTTGCGTTGGTCACCATAAGCGCACTAGTTCTGCAGGACTCGCAGTGTAATATTTGTCTTAAGTCCTGAAAAGTCTGTTTTTTTCCCTGTGCGTACAGCCCTTGTGGGTGCGTTTTGACTCAAATATGGCCTCAACCATGAGCCTGTACAGTTTCATCCCTAGCCTGAGTTCTTTCAGTTTCCTTCCGGCCTTGAATTTGAGTAGCCTTCTTCCATTAAATATCACCACCAGTTTCATTAATGTAAATAATTTGATGAAGCCTGGTGTATGGCACGTGATTTTACTACTGTATACACACATGGGTGGTTTACAAGCCATCCCTTTACAGTCTGTGCTTCTGGGTGGTTTTTTGGTAATATGTGTAAGCGCCATTTGCTACATTCTTGTTTCTGTGAGAGGTAGATGTTCTACTTCACATACTGAGAATGTGCAACAACACATTCAGGCTCTTCACTTAGCCATGCAACAACAAATTCAGGCTTTTAAAGTGGCCATACAACAACAAAATCAGGCCTTTGATTTAACTATTAAGTGCATGAGGGATGAGAACCGTAACATCTTTGAGTCAGTTTATAAAAGCGTACAAGATCAAGCCTTTAAAAGTATGCAGGACGGGATAGAGGCCGCCCTCCATAAATTGGATATGGCGGAGGCTCGGCTTATGGCACAGAGAAAGGATAGACCTTCCCCTTTCCATGAGGACTGCCAGCGAGCAGAGTTAGAAGAGGAGGAGCATCATATTTTAAATACTTTAAATACATCAGGACAAAATCCTCTTCCACGTGACAAGGCCCCTCCCGTGCAGACCCCTGAGGCTGCACAGCCTCCACTGCCCTCTGGGGAGGACACTAAAATGGCGTCTCCTCCCCACACTAGACTCGGCACCCACTTTGGCAGGAAGGATCACCCTGAGGCAGGACAGTTTCCCCTTCACCAGATGCCAATGGGCGGCTTAAATGAACATGGGAGACCTGCTGGGTACTTTTGGTCGCACCATCCGTTCAGTGCTGCGGACCTCCTAAATTGGAGGAGCTCTGTTCCCTCGTACCGGCAGGCTCCTCAGAGGATGGCGAACTTGTTTGCCTCTATCTTTGTCTCCCACCGCCCTAGCTGGGCAGATATACAGTCCATGCTGCATACTTTATTAACGCTGGGTGAGCAGAGGATGGTATTCAGGAAAGCCAGGGAGGAGGCTGACCGTCTCCACCAACAGGATAGGCAGTCCCCAGAGCCGGAGGTTGTTGTCCCAGAGAGAGATCCTGGATAGGGCCCTAACAATGGAGGAATGGCGATGTTGGATCTGTATAAAAAATGTTTATTGGTAGGACTGCAGCAGGGGATCCCCAAACAAAAAAACTTTAACAAAATATTGCAACTCGAGCAAGGAGCTAATGAGGATCTGTCAGAGTTCCTTGAGAGGATTATTCAAACTTACACTAACCACACGGATATAAACCCAGATGCCCCAGAAAATGCTCGTCTGATCACTATGGCTTTCATTACCCATAGTGCCCCAGACATAAAGAAAAAGTTAGCTAAGTTGGACGGCGTCACAGAGATGAGTCCGTCCCAGGTAGTGGACCTGGCATTTAGGGTTTATAATAATAGAGAGGACAGGAGACCGAAACCTGCAACTGTTTTCTTACAAAGAGAACACAGAACAGGGTTTCAGGGAAACAATAATGGACAGAGACGTGAACCCCTAGGAAGAAATCAGTGTGCTTTCTGTAGGGAAGAGGGACATTGGAAGTACAGTTGTCCCAGGTTACAGGGAAGTGGCAGATACAATAATTATAGAAGGAAGGATAGAAGACAGAGAACCCCAAGATATGATGATTCACGTAGGGGTTACAGGAGGGAATATAGAAGGAGCACACAGAACCAGGAACCAAGGAGAGAGGAAAGAAGACAAATGTTAGCACAGAGTAGAGGCTCAGATGATGACAGGGAATACAGAGAGAGAAGGAATCGAGGGTAGAGCCTCAGGTGAAGATAGAAGGGTAGAGCCTCAGGTGAAGATAGAAGGGAATACAGACAGAGTAGAGGGAATCTAGAGCCAAGTGCAGAGGAAAGGAGAAAAATGATAGTTCACGGAGAAAGTTCAGATGCAGAATAGGGGTGCCCGGGGGCTCCACTAGATCTAGAGAAGCCCATTAGAATAACCCCCTCAGAGCCCCGGGTAACACTCACTGTGGGGGATCGTCTCATTGATTTCTTGGTGGACACTGGAGCGACATACTCAGTTTTGAATTCAAAATTAACTAAAATGAGCAAAGAGACTGCAGCAGTCACTGGGATTACGGGAAGGCCACAACAAAAAGCCTTCCTGCAACCTTTGGAGTGCCGGCTGGGCACCACACAGCTCCAGCACAGCTTCCTATACATGGAAGAGTGTCCAATCCCTCTACTTGGTCGCAATCTTTTAAGTAAGCTCAACGCACGAATTATATTCTCACCAAAACATCAGAGGTTTCACCTACAGGTGCCTCCAGAGCATGCTCTGCGGTTCCAGATGTTACTTACTCAAGATGTTCCACCAAAAGGTGAAATTTTACCTCCAGAAATTGTTGAAAGAGTAAGAAAATGGGTATGGGCTGATGGAACCCCAGGACGTATGAAAAATGCTGAGCCTGTAAAGATAGAAGTGATAGAGGGGAGCAGAACCCCGAGGAGGAAACAATACCCCTTAAAGGAGGAGGCCTTGAGGGGAATTGAGCCAGTATTGAAAAGGTTCCTTCAATCTGGACTCTCTCGGCCCTGCCGCTCACCGTACAACACTCCGATGCTGCCAGTGAAGAAACCCCATACAGGCGAGAACCGTTTAGTCCAAGATTTAAGGGCCATGAATGACATTGTTCGAGATTTACATCCCACCGTGCCTAATCCCTACACCTTATTAACTGCCATACCTGGTGACTTGGGGTGGTTTTCGGTATTAGACCTGAAGGATGCCTTTTTCTGTATCCCAATAGATGTCCAGGATCAACCGCTTTTTGCCTTCGAGTGGCAAGACCCTAAGTCCAAGAGCACTCTCCAGTATTGCTGGACTGTGCTTCCACAGGGGTTTAAGAACTCCCCAACTATTTTTGGGGAAATACTGGCCAGGGATCTCAGGAAGGTTCAATTAAACCAGGGCGTCTTGTTGCAATACGTAGATGATTTATTGATTGCAAGTCCAGACTACAAATCTTGTCTGGAAAATACCATAGTGGTAGTGAACCACCTGGCAGAATGTGACTATAAGGTGTCACCCCAAAAGGCACAGATCTGTAAACAAACGGTGACGTATTTGGGGTTTGAAATTAGGAAAGGCAGACGGAGCTTAATGACAGAAAGGAAACAAGTAATTTCAGCCCTTAAAGTCCCCAGCAACCGGCGACAGTTGCGTGGATTTTTGGGTATGGCTGGGTTTTGCAGGATTTGGATTCCTAACTTTGGATTAATAGCAAAACCCTTGTATGACGCTCTCAAAGGCCTGGACTCTGAACCTTTGTCTTGGACCTCAGAATGTCAAAAGGCCTTTGAAGAAATAAAAGTAAAGTTGATCTCAGCACCAGCATTAGGTCTTCCAGATCTTAGGAAGCCATTCAAACTTTATGTACATGAGAGACAGGGTGTTGGCCTAGGAGTACTAATCCAATTGTTGGGACCAGAAATGCAGCCCGTTGATATCTGTCCAAACAATTGGACCACACCACTAAGGGATGGCCTCCATGTTTGCATGCAGTAGCTGCCACTTGTGACCTCCTACATGAGGCAGAGAAGTTTACATTGGGTCAGCCCATCACTGTGTGTGTGCCACATCAGGTCTTGACATTGCTGGAGCAGAAGGGTGGACTTTGGTTGACTGCCGGGCGAATGGGAAAGTATCAAGCAGCTCTGTTGGACAATCCTAAGGTGAAGCTGCAGGTTTCTAATTCCCTGAATCCCGCCACACTGCTTCCAAGCAATGCAGATGGACCTGAGGATGATACTTTAATCCACAACTGTTTAGAAACCATAGACACAGTGTATGCCAGCCGACCAGATCTAACGGACCAGCCTCTGCCAGACCCAGAGTGGGAGCTATTTACAGATGGCAGCAGCTTCATGGACCAAGGCCGTCGATGTGCTGGATATGCAGTGGTGACGCTCCAGAACACCGTGGAGGCCAAGGCTCTTCCGGCAGGTACATCAGCGCAAAAAGCTGAATTAATAGCCCTGACCCGTGCCTTGGAACTCTCAAAAGGTAAAAGAGTCAATATATTTACTGACTCCAAGTACTCTTTTATGATTCTCCACATGCATGGGGCCA